TCTCCATTAAGACCTCTTTGCTGCCCACATCCATCTTGCTACAGGCACCCTCCCCTCCTCATCTCCCAAGTGTGGCTAGGGTCTTATATGGGCAGGTAGGGAGAAGAGACAGAGGTGAAGGACTTGGCCCCCGTTTGCCAGCCAAGCTCTTGGCTTTGAAGCCTGTTTGTTCCTGGTCCTCCAGAACCGAAGCCCTGATAAGCCAGCTGCAAGAGCGCCTAAGGGCCCTTGGCGCTGGCACAGGAGCCCTCTTGGCCCTGACAACAGCAAAGCTGGTTCTGAGCACCCTTGCCCCGGGGCGTTCTGGGCCTCTCACCTGGGGTGTCTTCCTGGCAGGCCCGCCTTTCCTGCTGGCACCTGCCCCTGCAGGCCTGTGGCTCTCCCTGTTCTCCTGCCAGGCCGACCCTCTCACACAGCCAAGGGTCTGACCCAGTGGGGAGCCCACCACATTCCCAAAAGAATTGCCCCAAGAGAAGGGATGAGCTCCTGGAAGGGGAGTGAGGAGGCAGAGCATGTGGACCCTGGGGACAGTACTGAAGGCTGGGGGAGCCTTGGCAGCAGTGTGGGGGTTGTAAATGGCCATTTGTCTGGGGCAGCAGATTTTCACTTCAAGCACTCCACCTGCCTGGCTTCCTCCCACACATCTAGTACCTAACCTCCCGCCACACTTAGCCATTCCTGTCCAAATTCTGAAAACTCAGCCCCTCTGGTTATAAATTCTTACTTACACATACTTACTAATGTGTGGTTTTTCATTCTTTGCTATGGGCTTGTTGGTGAATGGAAGGCTTTTTCTTCCCCCATGCTTTTACTTTTTTGTTTGTTTGTTTGTTATCATTAATCTACAATTACATGAAGAACTCATGCTTTTACTTTTATTTGCATTTATTTTATGCTGAATTTATTCCAGGGCCATACATTTTTTGTTTCTCCAGTTTTGTCTGGGATAACCTTTCTTCTGTGCAACCTCCTTTTCTGGTTTAGGAAGAACCTGCTCTTTTTCAGTAAGGATCATCTCAGAGAGGGGGTGGGATTACCTTATGCAGGGGTGATCTGCCCCTGAGCCCTGTAAGTCCTGCAGGGCATCTTGGGGCTTTGCTCACCTGGATGGGCTCAATGACCAGAGAGTCTACTTCTAAACCCTTTAAGTCAGCCTGACTCTGCAGTTTTAAGCATGTGCAGCAAAAACACAGCACTCTTTGGCCCACCAACCCTGTTTCCAGCCCCACAATTTGGCCTGGGCACACCTCCCAGCGCCACCATCTTAACGATAGAATGGCACACGTTGCTTCCATAAAATGACATCCTTGGTGGCTTTTGGACTTGCATGGTGTTGATGGCCGGGGCAATTTCACGAGCATTCTTAAAATGAACACGAAAATTTGAAACTCTTGATTTTCATGATTTTATAAGGTTTTCTGCATCAAATGAATAGTGAACCATTTTCAGAGATCAAGCTAAGGGCTTTGATAAAGAATCTACACCTGACACTTCTTTCTTGTATCTGGACAGCCTTGAACCGGGCTGGGTGTGGGGACTGGTGGTATCTCTCTTCGTCCTTGAGCCAGCTCACTTGCTTGATGCAGCCTATCAAGCTACCCCTGTGCACTCTTCTTTGTATATCCTCTGATCTTAAATTTTCCCTGACAAGGCTACTCACCCAAATGTAATCTACTTTCTGGACCTTCTGCTCCCTTCTACCTCTTGCCTACCTCTCTCCAAAGCCACAGAGGTGGCTTTCGTGTACTAAGACAAGTCTACTAATGGCTGTATGCTTTTCTCTCATCCTCCTCTCAGCTTGTTAGCCCAAGTGGTCTCTATGGGACTTCACCTCTAAACTCTTAGGAATATGTAACTCAGAGCCCTGCCCCTCCATCCTCTGTTGGCCTCATTCCCATGGCTTCCTTATACTTTGACTCCAACACTTCACCCCAGTTCCTATCCTTGTTCCCGGCCCTGGGGACTCCTGCCCTTCAGTCATGAGCTGGCCTCAACTCTCCAGTCCTGGCAGGTTGCCTTGTCCCACAGGGACCCCCCCCTGCCACCAACCTCCAGTTTGCACAATGCCTGGCATGTGAGCTGAGAGCCTCTGAGAAGCTCAGGGAAGGAAATTGCTCCCATCACATTCCTCACCCCCTACCACCCCTTTAAATATTTGCTAAAGCCTCCTACAGCAATGTCCTAGGAGGAGTGGAAGAGGGGACAACTGTGTGCAGCCTCAGCTGCATGCAGGTGCCAGATGTAGGAGACAACCCGCCTGCAGTGCCCACTCCTGCCCACCCCCTGGCCCCGCTCCCGCCCCCAGTTGTCCTGGCAACACTGGGATTGATTGGCTGACTCACACATCCTGGGCCTGAGCCAGGTGGGCAGTGGGCCAACGGGAGAGCCAGAGAACTGCATGCATCTCGGGGTCCCTGTGGGCATCTCAGGGGGCCGCAGAGTCCAGCTGTGGGGCTTGTTCTGAGCAGGCATTGTGCCATCAGTATTGGCACTGGGAAAGGGATCTCTTTCCTGGAAAGAAGCCCCTCTCTCTCCGGTCCTCAGTTTCCCCTGCAGGCTGCCCTTAGGCTATACGAATTATGTTTCTTATCTTTTTTCCTTTTTTAATTCCTATTTGAACATTGGAAGGAAGGATGCCCTCAAGTTTCATAAAGGAAGTTGAGATGCTGGGACCGACCTAATAGAGGTCTTGGAATTCTCTCTTCCTTCTCAAGCAGAGGGGAGGGATCTTTAGCTGGGCACGCACAGCTGCTCCCTTGCCACCCCCCCCCCCACACACACACCTGCCCTTTGCCACAGTCTTCTTCTTGACCATTATTTAAACCATTTCTCTCTCCTGGAGAGACCACCCTCAGTGCCTCACCACATCTCTGAATACCACACACCCTGAAAGGCGATCGAAGAGCTGATGGCTCGGGCTATGTGACCTCATCGCCCCAGCCCACTGTCCTCCCGCCTGCCTCTGAAATCTCCCATTCTCCCTACAGTGCCTTTGCAAGCACTGCTGTTTTCATCAGCTATGCAAGGTCTTTCCATTGCCCTGTCTTCCCAACCAGGCTTCCAGCCCTGGGACTGGCCCTGAGTCCATGCTTTCCTCAAGCGTCTTTGTACCTGCTACAGGGCAAGGAGCAGCACACAGTCAGCATGAAATTGCATTCAATAATAAGTCTGTCACCAAACATGAAGGGGCTCAAGAGTTCATTCCTTCAGTATGTGGAGGAGTTGGTGTTTCGTTGGCCAGCTCTGGGATCCTGAGAGAGTTGTTCCTCATCTCTAGGCTTCAGTGTGTTCATCTGTGAAATGAGACTGGTACCGCCTCACCTGTTCTGTCCCCCTCTCCAAGCTGCTGTGAGGATCCAATGACATCACTGTATGCAAGTTCAATCGTCATGATCCTATCATCAAGTCATCCCCCATGACACCTCTTCTCACTAGCTAAGAATAGGACCCAGCCTGCCCCTTTTGTCTGTCTCTGAGCTAAACCCCTCCAAGAACTGTGGGTGGTGGAGAGCCCCATGGTAGCCATTCCCTCTATGTGAGCCTCCCCTTTCCTCCTTCCAGCCCCTCAGCTGCAGGGCATGGACAAGATTCACTCTGCCCTTTGTGTGCTGGGCAGAGCTGTGCCAGGGACGGGTGGGCACGGGTGACCAGCTGCCCCAGCCACCCGCCACCCCCAATTGCTTGTCTTCCCACATGCTGGCATGAGAAGGGCAGCACAGGCAGCTGGGCATGCAGTGTCTACTGGGCATCAAAGGGCAGGGGCATTCCTAGCTGGGAGAACATGGACTTCCGCTCAGAACAGAGAATCCCCTGCTGGCAGAGGCTGGGGACAGCTGGGGGAAAACATCTAAAATCCAGCAATCTTGGTTTCCTGGACTGATGTAGAAAGAACACTGGCCTGGGAGCCCAGTCACCTGCCTTCCAGGCTCCCCTTTTCCTACATCTGTGAGCTCCTAGGACAGTCATTCCCCACACACACTCCTGGGAGGTAACACACATGGCAGTTACCATGTTACTATGAGTGGCAGTTCTCAAACTTTTTGGTGTCAGGACCCTTAAAATGCTTAAAAATTATTGAGGACCCCAAAAAGCCTTTGTTTATGTGGGTTATGTCTATTGATACTTACCTTATTGATATTTGCTAAGGAATTTAAAAATATTAAGATAGCAATAAATCCATCATATGTTATAACATACATTACATAAAATTTTAAATGAAATGGATTATTTTACAATTAAAAAAGTAGAGAGAAGAATGTCATTGCTTCACATTTTCACAAATCTCTTTAATTTCTGACTTAATGGAAGATACATCATGTAGCCTCTGGAAAATTCCAGGGTAGTTTTGTGAGAACATGAAAGTGAAAAGGGCAAATAACATCTTAACATTATTGGGAAAATCGTTTTGATCTCAGAGTCTCCCTGGAAGGTTCCTAAGAACCCTTGGCCTCCCTGGACCACACTCTGTGGACCTTGCAGAGTAAGTTGAAACCCTTGCTCCGTCACTTTCTTCTTCTGGTACTATGGGACTTGATTTTTTTTTTTTCAATCTGAGGAAGGGGATTAAAATCATCTACCTCAAAAGGTTGGGAGGGTTAAAACAGAATACACAACACACAGTAGATGTGACACAGAGCTTGGCTGTTTCCTTGGCTTGGGCCTCAGTTTCCCCATTTGTTAAACAAAAAGCTTGACTGGAAAAGGTTCAGGGCTCTTTCCAGCTCCAGCATGCTATGGCTGTGCAATGAAAGATGTCCCAGAATTTCACACACTCCCACTCCAGCTCCAGTGACATTTTCCTTTTCAGCTCACACAGACACAAAGGCACGTTCAGTTCACTGGTCTATAAAAACACATGTGAACACATACATACACACGTGTCACTTAAGACATGCCCATGAACTCTGCTTAGAGGACGTGTCTCCTCAGGACCAAGACACGCACACAGGTACACAGCTACACAGAGGTGCATGGGTCCCTAATGTAGAAATGCCCCCACGTGGCCGTGCAGACAGCTGTGCACACGGTCCTGCCACCATGGGATATGTATGTACACCTTGTACACCTGCATTCACGCACACACCCTTTGCTTGCCAGACACCGAGCAAATTGGCCCGAGACCGCTGGGGAAGCGTACAGCAACCCCTCGTCCTTGGGCTGCGCCCGGCCCGGCGTGCCCCCTCCGCCCTGCGCGCCCCCGCCGCAGTCCGCGTCCACCCCAGCGGGTCAGCGGCTCCTCAGGCTCCACCGGCTCCGCGCACCTCTCCGAGGCGGCGCGCGAGCGCGCGCAGGGGCGGGACTGCTGCCGGCGCCGAGGGCTGGCGGAGTCCCTCTCCGCAGCGGGCAGCGGGCAGCGGGCAGCGGGCCCCCAGCTGCGGTAGCAGCTGCCGGCTCCGGGAGGGGCCAGCCGGCGCTGGGTGGTGGAGAGCCGTGGGGCGGAGGCTGCGGCCGCTGGCCGGAGGGAGAGCTTGCAGGCAGCATGGCGGGGCTGCGGGCCGGGCGGGGCTCGGGGCTCGGGCTGCTGGCGCTGTCCACGCTGGGCTTCTGCTTAATGCTGCAAGTTAGTGCCAAGAGGCCCCCCAAGACGCCCCCTTGCCCGCCCAGCTGCTCCTGCACCAGGGACACCGCCTTCTGCGTGGACTCTAAGGCAGTGCCCAGGAACCTGCCCTCCGAGGTCATCTCTCTGTGAGTGCCAAGCCCTGGCCTTGGGGTGGGACGGGGAGGAGGCAAGGATGCCACTGGGAGTGAGTGGATGGAGAGCTCCCCTCCGCAGTACAGGGACGGGAGACTCCAGGGCGTCTTCAGGACTGGAGAATCAAGGCATCATCCAGGCAGGGAGCTCTGCAGTCAATGCAGGCTCAGCAGCCATGGCTGGGGAGAGTTTACGCCAAAGATGAATCACCACCACCATCAGCATCAATGAGACCTACTGTGTGCAAGGCCCTGGACTTGCAGGGAGGGGGTTGTTTGCATGATCATGTGGACCAGTTCCTGTGATGCCATACCAAAGAGCAGAAAGGCTTCTTGAGGGAGAGAGGCTGGCAGCAGGGGGAGGGGTGGAAGTGAGATACACCCCCACAGTGCCCTGGCACAAGGCACTCTGTGCGGGGCCAACTAGTCTGTCACTTGCAGCAAGCGGCCTCAGGGACTGGATAGGCCGTGTGGTCTTCAAAAGGAGAATGCTAGTCTCCTCCCCATCCTAGTGACCATCCCTCAACAGCTTCGTGCACACTGCGGGTGTCTGGATGATCATGAAGGTGGGGGGAATAGAAACTTCTTTTGGCTGAGAAGGAAGCTGAACCCGGGGCCCTGGTGCTCAGGGAGGTGATAAGGGAGGATAATGATGAAGGAAGGCAGTGAATTAGTGAGAAGAGAAAGGCAGTCCAGGGAGTCCCAGGCGGGTGAAGTGGGGAGTCTCCAGGGTGAGTGTGTACAGAACCATGGCCCTGGCTCCTTTGCACGGCCCAGCACACCCTGCGTATTCCCTACAGCACTGACTCTGGTGTCCTCTGCAGGACGCTGGTGAACGCTGCCTTCTCGGAGATCCAGGATGGAGCCTTTTCCCACCTGCCACTGCTGCAGTTCCTGTATGCACAGGGCGCTGTGGAAGGGCGGGTGCCTGGGCTGGGCAGGGCAGTGGAAGGGCGCAGATGTGGGACTGGGTAGTCTTCAGAAAATACAGGTGTCCCTTACTTTTGCTCAGATGGGAGAGCCCGAAAAGGTGGAGCAACATGAAGTCAGGAGGGGTGAGGAAGCAGCAGTTGGGGAGAAGGAGGGTAGGGGTTGCATGTGAAAACCAAGAAGGGGGCATTTGGGGGCCAGTAAGGAATGGTCTTGCCTCCTCTGGAGACCCAAAGCAATTGGGTGCGATAACCTGGGCTGGTGCCAGAGGGTGGACCCTGCAGGGGAAGTGGCCATATTAGAGACAGTGACCTGAGGGATCAGGGTTTGAAGAAAGAGCTGGGGGCTGAAAGGGAGGAAAGACAGGAGGGCCTGGAATTCTGAAAGGGGCTGTTTATGTTTGAAGCGCAGTCACAGCAGAGAGGACATGTGAGTGACCCCACCTCCTTCTCATTCGGGGATCCTCAAACTTGCCATCAGTTCAGAGGGACTGAAGTGAGCTCCGGGGAGGGTGGGAGACAGCAGCGATGTGGTGGGAAGGACCCAGCTTGCCAGGAGAGGGCTTGCTGCTGACTCTTCTGATGTTAGGGGCAGTCTGACACTAGGGACCCAGGCTACTCTCTCCAGGGTCCGGGGGTGGGATAGGGGGAAGGGCAGCAGGCCAGGGCTGAGGCAGCAGGCATGCCTGCAGATGGGCTAATTCCTCCTTTGTCTGTCTCCCTCCAGGTTACTCAACTCCAACAAATTCACTCTGATTGGAGACAACGCCTTCACAGGACTGTCCCACCTGCAGTACCTGTGTGTGCAGAGGATGGGGAAGGGTTACTAGAAAGGGGGTGGGGGAGGCCTAGCCAGGCAGGCTGAGAAGGGGGACTGAGTGAGGAAGGTGGGAAGAAAGGGGGGATGAGGGGCGTGGGGAGAAGGCAGTGAGAGCCCTAGAGGGCAGGACTCAAGCAGATGGTCATTTCATCCATCTTTGGGCCTAAACCATCCTACCGAGATGTCCTATCAGCACAGGCTTAATGTCACCAGGTTCAGCCTCGGGCGGGATCTAGGCGGGGTGTGGGGAAACAGCTGGTCTGGGTCTGGATCCTGAGTGGCGGCTGAGGCCAAGCCTTGTTTTCCCCAGCTTCATTGAGAACAATGATATCTGGGCACTATCCAGGTTTACCTTCAGAGGACTCAAGTCTTTGACACACCTGTGAGTACATCACACACACACATACAATGGGACCAAAGCCCCACGCTCCATGGCCTTTGGCCTCAGGCGTGATCTGCAGGTGACCCCAGGTTCTCTCCTGCAGCTCACTGGCCAACAATAACCTGCAGACGCTGCCTAGAGACATCTTTCGGCCCCTGGACATCCTGAGTGACTTGTAAGGCTTGAACCCTTCCTCTTTTGCCAGTGCCCAGAGGGGTGCATCCCTGGAGGGAAGGGTGTGGGAGGCAGAGCTGGGAAGATCATAAATTCTTGAGAGGCTGGGAGAGCTTGGGCTTGGGGGGTCTCTGAGAAGGCTAGGCTGAATCACAGATTGGTAGCCTTCCAAGTGGAAGTTCCTCAAGGCATTTGTGGGCACTCTTAAAATGCACATGAGACACTATATGTATGTTTTTTTTTTTGAGAGGGCATCTCTCATATTTATTGATCAAATGGTTGTTAACAACAATAAAATTCTGTATAGGGGACTCAATGCACAATCATTAATCAACCCCAAGCCTAATTCTCAACAGTCTCCAATCTTCTGAAGCATAACGAACAAGTTCTTATATATGTATGGTTTTTAAACATGTGCTTTTTAAATGCATGTTTGATTTGAATCTACATTAAAGCCCTAGAGGATAGTCAAAATCACTGATCGGTATTTATATAAGAAACAGCAGCCCTGGATGGTGGGAGGTTGGGAGGAACTGCAATGCAACATAGAGTTGTACAGGTTGTACACTGCAAATGGCACCTGACCAGGGATATAAGGAGGGCCTGAAACTCAGCCCTCGTTCCGCTGGTCAAGCCTGTGTCCAGACGGCTGCATCCACCCCAAGGGGAACTTTTTCTAATTGGCACAAAGATGCCATCTGAGCAGCCAGCAGCAGCCTTGACAATATCTATTCCTGGAAACCTAGAGGGCCTGGGAGGGCAGAGCACTAAGAACCTGTCCCTTTCTGTGTCCCTTCCATCACCATCATAATCCAGGGACCTGCGTGGCAACTCGCTCAACTGTGACTGCAAGGTGAAGTGGCTGGTGGAGTGGCTGGCACACACCAACACCACGGTGGCCCCCATCTACTGCGCCAGCCCGCCCCGCTTCCAAGAGCACAAGGTGCAGGATTTGCTGCTGCGGGAGTTCGACTGCATCACCACGGGTAGGAGGTGCCCCTGCCTTGGGCATTGGGCCGGGCCTCCCCGAGGCTACTCCACAGACCCTGTCAGAGCCCTCGACACCCTGCTTCGCCAGTCCAGCAACCCTTACAGCAACTGTAAGAGCAGCCCGCCCAACCCGCTCTTACTCCCTTCCCCTTCCCTGCAGATTTCGTGCTGTACCAGACCCTGTCCTTCCCAGCAGTATCAGCTGAGCCCTTCCTTTACTCCAGCGACCTCTATCTGGCTCTGGCCCAGCCAGGTGCCAGCGCTTGCACCATCCTCAAGTGGGACTATGTTGAACGGAGGCTTCGAGACTATGATAGAATCCCAGGTACCTGTACCAGCCTCGCTGGCCCCAAATAGGGGGTGGAGTGGGTTGGGGTGGGCTCCACTGTTCCTCTCCACCGAGTGCCTGTACATAGAAGGATGGATGAGATATGGCCTCTGACCATAATAATGCCCATCATTGTGGGGGAGGCTGATATACACTCAGGTAACATACAGATAGTAGGTAGGCTCAAGGAGGGAGCATAAAGGAGAGGCCTACCCTGGGCAATCAAGGAAGGCTTCCTGGTAGAAGGGTTGCCTAAATTGCATCTTGAAAAGCAAGGGAGAGGGAGGAGTCAGAGGTGGTGCCCAGGTTCCTGGCTTAAGTAACCAGGTGGTCCAGTGAACTATGGGGAGACGGAAGTGGCTAGTAAGCTCAGTTTGGGTTTACTGAGTTTAAGCTGAGTCTAGAAGGCCAAAGGAGATACTTAGCTAGGAGAAAAAATGTGGGAAGGATGTTCTGGCAGAGGGAACAGCATGAGCAAAGTCAAGAAGATACAAACCATCTTAGTGTGTGAGTGCATGCATATGTAAACCAGAGCAGCTCATGTAACTGCAGCATAGGGTTCAGAGTGGAGAGAGGCCGACGAGACCCAAGAGGTGAGGACCAGGTCATTGGCAGGTTTTGAGCAGAAACTTGGGAGCCATCCCCAACACCTCTTCTCCCTCCCTCACCCACAGCTGACCTGTGGTTCATGTAACTGCAGCATAGGGTTCAGAGTGGAATCTTCCTTGATTGTGTGAACGAGCTCAGTCTGTATTGTAGAAAATGCCCTCTGTGAGCAGCAGGGACAGTGCCTAGGCATGGGGCAAGACAGGTGGGCAGACTGGCAGTGGGTGTCCTGGGGCCTGGATTGGGACAGTAGTGGTGGGGAGGCAGAGAGATATTCAGAAGGGAGAATTGCACTGACACACGAGGAGATAGAACATTGAGATTGCCCTGTATCTATGCAAGAACTTGAAGTCCTTAGAAAAAAACGACCCCCAGCAGAGGACCCCAAGTCCAGATGTCTTCCCTGGTAAGTTCTAGCAAACATTTAAGGAAAAAAATAACACCCATTTTACACAAAGTAGACCAGAAAGCAGAAGGCAGGTCTTGCAGGAGTGGGGACAGGTCAGCTGTGGGTGAGGGAGGGAGAAGAGGTGTTGGTGTTGGAGATGGCTCCCAAGTTTCTGCATGGGGTGGTTGCGTGGAGTCACAAATTGAAACTGAACAGGTTTGGGGGCAGACATGGAGCTCAGTGTTGGCCCACTGGAGTTTGAGGTGCTGGTAAGTATGTTGGCAGCTCAGGAGCTGGGGGTCATCAGCTTCTGGGCAGGCAGACCATACTATGGAGGGGACTCAGGGGTGACCGCCAGAGTCTGAGACTCATGCAGGCTTCCCCTGGGTGCAAGGTGGGGTCACAGAGAGGAGGTGGGTGAAGCAGTGCTGACGAGGAGAGAAGATCCCTTGGGAACACAGGGACAGGTGAGGAGTGTGGCCCCTGTATTGATAAGGGTGCCTGAGAAGGGGTCTGAGTGAGCTGGCTGGGAGCAATGTATGCTGCGCACACTCTCATAAACAAAAGCCCTCTCGAAAGTTGGGGTGCTTAGGAGAATGGGTTTTCATGCACAACCACCCAAGCTTGAAGCTGTCATTTTCTATACCTGGGCTCTGTCACCTGGCTGTGGACAGCTCAAACTCTTCCTCCTTCCCCTGCATGGCCACTTGCCAGGGTGGGTGGGGTTTAGGCAAGTCCAAGCCTCAGTTTCTTTCGGTGTGAAATGGGCAAAATTATAGACCATTGCAGAGTGATTGAGGTAACGTGCTCACACTTAGCACACTGACTACACGCAATAAAAATTCAATAATAGACATTATCTTTAAACAGCCCTTCCATATCCAGGGATACCTATTTTATGCTCATGTCATTTTATATTTGAGCCCTGGGGGCAAGGATGGAGGGAGGTGCTGAGGCCAGTTAGCTGTGAAACAATTAGAAGCATTGAGCACTGAGTGGATAAACTTCACTGGGGAGGAAGACGGTAGCAGGGAGCTCAGGGTTGGACGGGTCTGACCCCCTTTTCCGAGGGCCTGGCATGGGGTGGGGCATGTGGGCTGACACTGCATTCCTCCATCCTGGCAGCCCCCTCTGCAGTGCACTGCAAGCCTATGGTGGTGGACAGCCAGCTGTATGTGGTTGTGGCCCAGCTGTTTGGTGGCTCTTATATTTACCACTGGGACCCCAACACCACGCGCTTCACCAAGCTGCAGGACATTGACCCGCAGCGCGTGCGCAAGCCCAACGACCTAGAGGCCTTCCGTATAGATGGTGACTGGTACTTCGCAGTGGCCGACAGCTCCAAGGCCGGCGCCACCAGCCTCTACCGCTGGCACCAGAATGGCTTCTACTCTCATCAAGCCCTGCATGCCTGGCACCGCGACACTGACCTGGAGTTTGTAGATGGCGAGGGCAAGCCACGGCTGATTGTGTCGAGCAGCTCACAGGCACCCATCATCTATCAGTGGAGTCGCACTCAGAAGCAGTTTGTGGCCCAGGGTGAGGTGACCCAGGTGCCTGATGCCCAGGCTGTGAAACATTTCCGTGCGGGCCGCGACAGCTATCTGTGCCTCAGCCGCTACATTGGTGACTCCAAGATCCTGCGCTGGGAGGGTGCTCGCTTCTCCGAGGTGCAGGCCCTGCCCTCCAGGGGCTCACTGGCCCTGCAGCCCTTCCTGGTGGGTGGCCGCCGCTACCTGGCGCTGGGCAGCGACTTCTCCTTCACGCAGATCTACCAGTGGGATGAGGGGCGACAGAAGTTTGTGCGGTTCCAGGAGCTGGCTGTGCAGGCCCCTCGGGCATTCTGCTACATGCCTGCTGGGGACGCCCAGCTGCTCCTGGCCCCCAGCTTCAAGGGACAGACGCTCGTGTACCGACACATAGTGGTGGATCTCAGTGCCTAGTAGGGTGTCATGGCCTCTGGGGAGTGGCCACTGGAGGCTAAGTAGGAGTCTGTGTGAGCCACATATGTGCCCATGTGAAGACACATTGTAGCCAGCCTGCATTCGTGCCCTCACGTATACATACGCAGCCCCAGTGAGCATGGACACACACCGTGAGCTAGCCCAGGGAGCCACTTCTCATAGTTGTAATAAGCATGAAGACGTGTATATGCACCAGTCAACCCAGCGCCTGGTGCCTTCCTGTGCGTGGACACCTGTCAAACCTGCCCCCCTCCTGTAGGACCCCCTCAGTCTGTTGCCTTCCACACACTCTGGCCCCAGGGTTGGGAGGAAGGCTGAACTTCCTCTCCTAGTCTCCTATTCTTTGGCTTACCCTGTGACTACCTGGTCTCTCCTATTGGTGCTCCAGGTGTCCATTTACCTGCTCCTGTTCTACACTGCAGCCCACAGCCACATCCTTCATACTTCTGGGGTCACTCACTCATGTTATGCTCCTTCTGCGCACACATGTGGACACTGGTAGACAGTCTCAGGGACGTGCACACACACGTCTATGTTCTGTTTCTGTGAGCATACGTGCAGATTCAGGGCTGCCTAAAAGGGCTCCCCTCCATTACCTTGCCTCTCTTCTTGCAGAAGGCACATGGTACCCGTCATCGGCTCACCCCTGGTGTGCCCACCCTCTAGGCATCAGCTTAACCTCCTGGGGCCAGAGTCTCTGCCCAAAGCAATAACAACATCCCCAGCAGGCCCCAACTTCTTGCCAGGCCTTTGTTCTTACAGGGGTTTCCTACTCTGACCCTGAAGCTGGCTCATGCGTGGAGACTACCCAGATAAAAGCCTTTCTGCTTTTCTTCCCTGTAGCTGCTGCAGCCTCAGACCACACTCCCTACTTCAGCCGCATCTTGGGGGTACAGCTCCTGAGCTGTGCTGGCTCCTTTGGGTGGGTCCAAGAGCTGGCCAAGCCAGGGACCCTGCTATCTGGGTGGGTGCCAAGAGTGGAGCTGTGCTGGAGAGCGTCTTGGAGACCCTGGGACCTTACCAATCCTCAGAGGCATGCCCCAGGGGCACTGCCTTCAGTGCCTGCTGAGTGTCCTGTGGGAGCCGCACCTCAGAGCCAAGCCTCTGCTGCCCTCTGCTGCATGCTGGAAATAGGCAAGGCTGGTGCAGGAGGCAGGCTTTGGGAAACTTCCCTGTGCCCAGACAGTGTGAGGGCCTCCTGGGGTCAGGATATCCAGGGCACTGGCGAGCAATTTTATGATTCATTTTCCTCAAATAAAAGGTTTCCACCCCATTGCCGGCTCTCAGGTGTCCAATGTCAGCAGCAGCAGTTTCACTAAGAACAGACCCATGGCTGTGCTTTTGTCCTTGCTGTGCGCAGGGGCCAGTCCTGGCTTTCGGACTCCCTTCTTCCCTGCTCCGCTCCCTCAGAGAGCTAGGGCGAGCAGGCAGGGTGCTGGGATCAGGAGTTCTTGGTGATGACACTCAGTGCTGGGCCAGTGTGAAGTCTCCACCAAGTGGGGCTGACTCTTGGCCAAGTACATAAAATCCTCAGAATGGAGTGTCTGACACGCGAGTCTGTAGGACTTTATGAGATACAGAGGTGGCTCAAAGAAGGTGATTTGTAGGAGGGGAGGCCATTCTTCGGGGAGAACTGCTGTCTGTGGATTAGGGTTCCTTACCTGTCCTGGGTCTCAGAGTCCTTTTCCCCTGTGTGCCTCTGACCATGACAATGGGGAATCTCATAGGTGACACACCTGGGTTTTACTTCCTTGAACCACCTTCATGTGTCTTAGCTTAGCAGATGTTCCTCGGGGTCCCTAGGTACCCTGTTCTGGGAATGCCTGTACTGCTTTCTCAGATGGGGAACGGGCCCCCATGCAGTGCCAGGGAAGGGTGGGCAGGGGAAGTGGGTTGAGTCTCCCAGACATGTTGGCACTCTGTTGCCCAGTGGAAAGAAAACATTACTGTCACCGTCACTCCCCCAGGACTCTTCCCTGAATGACCCCAGATTTCCACACATGGGGAACGGAGCCCACTGTGTGTCTACCTGGTCACCTGCCCTGGGAGTCATTGTAGGTCCATACAGCTGCTTAGCAACCCAGTGTAACCGGTGACTGTGTCAACAGCTCAGGACCAAAGGCCATGAGAGGCAGAGTCCACTCACTCAGCCGAAGCTGAGGAGGATAACAGCATTCAGGGGCCAGCCTCACGCTCCTCCATGCTGAGCCCTGCTCTCAGTGGCAGACCTCTGACATCATGTCCCTCAGAGTTCCCAAGCACAGTGACCAGGACCAGGAGTCTCCATGGGAAAGGCCTCCCCAGCTAGGTGGGCACAAAGTGGCATAGGAGAGCTCTTCAACAGCCGCTGGGGGTACAGACAGGCCTGTGATGCTGAGGTCAGGTGACTCTGGAAGGCAGCCAGCAGGGAGGAGTGGTTCTGCATCAGGTACCAAAGGACCTGAGGCTCACATGTACACAGTCAGCCCACACACCCTCACCTCCCCAGACATGGATGCCCCTTCCCTCCTCCACAACCCCTGCTCGTCCTGAGCTAGTTCCCCTACTGGGTCAGTCATAGCCTTCTGGGTATTTTCACCTTGATTACAATGTCTCTATCTAGAGATGGATGGTGGGATCCTAGCCCTTGGTACTCTTGTTCTTCCCCCCTTCAGGTGAGGGGGTGGTTAGGTGGGAGAGGGAGGCAGCAGGGCCTCAGGGGAGTTTCTCCTGTGGGCTGGTTTCACTGCTAGCTCTCACACCCCACAACACCAATAAAATTGATGATAATAATTAAGACTATAAAATCACCGTGTGTTTTTATTCCCAAGAAGCCTACTTTCCTTGGCCCCCATCATTACCTATTTCATCCTTTTGATAAGTGGTGGGTTTTAACTTTGATAAAAAGTAATGACTACTTGAGTTTTCTACCCCCACAGCTCAGAGCAGCTCTGCTGGCCTCCTTCCCTCAGACTTGTGAAGCACAGGGTGCTCAGGGTGGGGGGATGCTGTGCTCCCCATTGTCAGAGGGAGGAATGAGACATTAAGCAGAAGCCGTACAAAGAACAGGGCCCTACACAAAAAGCTGTGGAGGCAGCAAAGTTCACCTTCTCTCTTGAGGCCCCAGTATTCTTCCACGTCCAACCCTCCTCCCAGGGGAGCTTCTCCACTCCCAGACTCCCTCCAGGGGCAGCCAGCCCTTTATCCACCCTCCAGCAACAGATGCCACCGGGTGATGGTGGGCAAGCTACTTTTCATCACTAGGCCAGTGCATTTCCTAAATGGTAAAAAAGGTCCTTTGTAAAGATCAAAATCCGGGACACGAAAATGCACGGCAACAAGGCAATTGCAATCGGTGATATTAAGCTCTCAAGAATATTGTTCTTGACTCGCAGGAATAGGTGGAATTTCAAACTTCTGGTGAGGCAAACGGTGGGGAGGCATGGCGGTGAGGAGCTCTACCCTGAATCTCTAATCCTCGGGTCACCCTGCCGCGTGTGGTTCCTGGAAATGCAGCCCAAGGAAGCGGTCACTTCCTGAAGTCCACTCGTCTGGGCGGTGAGGCCCTCAGTTGCCTTCTACCTGCTTCCTCCCTTTTTTCCCCTCTGGCCAGCTCGGACTCTTCGGGGCGCTGGTCTCCTGTTCCTACGGGCCGGCTCTCGCCAAGCCTGCTTCTAGTTTGTGCCTGAGCCTCCAAAGGGGAACCACCCCCCATCTCACGTCCTTTCCTATTTTACAGAAGAAAACGAGGCAGAAGGGGAAAGCCTGTGAAGAAAACCCTGGGATCCAGATTGCCTTTGTTTCCTTCCTCCTAGTTTTTTTCGTCGCTTCCCACTTCCAGTCTTTCAGTTTGGACGCCCGGCTGTTGGACCTATCGGCCCCACCCGCGAGGCTGAGGCTCGTCACCTCTTTAAGGGGCAGGCGCTCGCCTCCCAGACTTAGCCCCGCCCCCCAGGGCCGCACTGCGCTTGCGCCGCCTGCCGGAGCCCTGGGGTTGGGCAGAGCCCAGTTCCGTGCAACTTTTAAGTGAGCTGTAAACTCCGCCCCGAGGCCAGGCCGGTGGCCCAGAGCACTGGGACCGCGGGCACCGGAGCGAGCAGAGGCCGCGACCCGTCATCCCCGGCAAGGGCCGAACGCTAGGCGACCCGTGGCAGGAAGTGGGGGCCGGAGCCTTGAGTGACCGCGCGGCGCCGGGGGGCGGCGGGGGGCGCCCGTGGTGCGGCCCCGAGTGGGCTCCTCCCCCTAGCCGGTTGGGACTCTCGGTCCTTTAGGCTTGGCGCACCGCGGAGTCGGGGGCCAGTGGGCAAGGGGTAGCCCGAGCGCCTCTGTGTCCCCGCACCTTCACTGGTACCCCAGTCCCAGCGTGAGCGACTCTCTGAGCGTCTTCCTGGGGAAGTTTCCTGTTCGCGCGGAGGCTGCAGGATGGTGTCCTGGATGATCTGTCGCCTGGTGGTGTAAGTATGGCCGCTCCTCGTAGCCCCTGTATCGCCGGGTGCCGGCCTGCCCCTGGGGTGGAAACTAGGAAGGTCTGTCGGGAAAGGGGTTTTTCTGAGCCCCTCACAGCTTTCCCTTCCACCTCAACACTCACCGCAACGGTTAACGGACCTGTGGGCCTGCACGCGGCTTCGAGTACCGAGTGCTTGTCTTCTCACCCCCAAAGCTTCCCTGGCCCATGGCGACCTCTCCCGCACCCACACACACTTTGCAGACGGGTCCGTGGGGCGGGGGACCATTGGCCGGCGGACCATTGGCCAGCTCGACCAAGTGTTGTGGGACGTTGTGGGCGGGGTCCAGGTGCCCACTTCCCAGCAGAGCAGTCAGTCACATGACTCACCACCTGGCCTCAGCCTTCCCTCTCTACTACTCCTCACCTTTCAGTACTCCAGCACCTGGCTCTATTATCTCTGTCTGCAGTGTCAAGTCTGGTGGCCCTGGGCCTGATTGCATGTCCATAGGAGGGGACAGCCCAAGGCTCTCAACAGCTCAAAAGCCGGCCTCCCTCCCACCGTGTTGAGTGGCTGTATATGCTCTCACTCCGTCATGCATCCGTGGGTCACCAGTGCAGGCCTGGGCAAGCTTGGGATGTTTGTAAACAGCAGGGTGGGGAGACTGCCTCCAGGGCACTGACTCGGGCACAGGTTGTGCAAGCCAAGCGGGAAGAACAGGGTAGACACTGCCACCTCTCACCGTGGGGGAGGTGGCCACCTGGCGGGGTTGGACACATGGTGCCCCTCACACTCCCTCTCTGTTTTGGGGGCTGCTTTTCCAGACTGGTGTTTGGGATGCTGTACCCAGCTTATGCTTCCTACAAGGCTGTGAAGACCAAGAACATTCGTGAATATGTGAGTATGGGGGTGGGCAGGAGGGCTCGGTTCAGGTGGGTTGGGATGACAGCCTTGGGGGTATGGTAGGGCTTGGTGAGGTGGGGAAGGTTTGAGATGTCCTCCCCCTCCTCCAGGGGCATAATTGGGTGGCATATCTTGAATGGTGTGGGTGTGGATAGAAGGCGGGCTATGGGGTACCTGTGTAGGGTCTTGTGGGTGAAGCCCTTTGGGGTTGGGTATAGGAATGAGTGGCAGTGTCTCAGAGGCCACTCTCTAGGGCCAGCCAGGCGCCAGGGGAATTCAGCAGGACCGGCTCTCTGGAATCTCTTGGCGGGGTCAGCCTGGGACAGGGGAGTTGGCTCTGTGGGTTCAGCTGTTGACCTCTGGCCTTCCAGCACCCCCCACCTCTGCCCCACTCCTCCAGGTCCGGTGGATGATGTACTGGATTATCTTTGCACTCTTCATGGCAGTGGAGACCTTCACAGACATCTTTGTTTCCTGGTATGGGCGCAGGGAGTCTGGGGGCTGTGGGCAGGTGATGGTTGACCCTCCACCTAGCTCCCTCGCTGACCTTGTGCCCTGTGCTCTGACAGGTTCCCTTTCTACTATGAGATCAAGATGGCCTTTGTGCTGTGGCTGCTCTCACCCTATACCAGGGGGGCCAGCCTGCTCTACCGCAAATTTGTCCACCCATCCTTGTCCCGCCATGAGAAGGTACCCTGTGGGAGGCAAGGAGGGAAGCATAGGGGTGGGTGTGAGGGAAGGAGCCCTGGACTCAGAGTTCAGGATGCTGGGGGACACCTGGGTTCTAATCTCAGTTCTGCTGCTGTTTTGCTGTGGGACCTTGACAGAACCTAGCCTTCTTCCTCTTCTGTGATAACCAGATGGGGGCCCATGTGAATGACCTCTGAAGGTGTGAAATGCCAGTTGGAAGTTGGTTTGGGGATGATGGGAGAGGCTGAAAAATGGCCACTCATTGAAGTGTGGGAGTGGGTGGGGGTGGGCTGGGAGGCTTGTCACCCGTGGCTTATCTGAGCCTGCAAAAAGTGACTCTGAGTATGTACCTGAGCTCTCCCTCTCCTCTGCAGGAGATCGACACCTACATCATCCAGGCCAAAGAGCGCAGCTATGAAACAATGCTCAGCTTCGGGAAGCGGGGCCTAAACATTGCTGCTTCAGCCGCTGTTCAGGCTGCCACCAAGGTGCTGTGAGCCCACGCCCCCCAGCAGTGCCCCTGCGCCACCCCTGGTGCCTTTTGGGCAAATCCAGCTCCCTGTTAGGCAGCCGAGAGATAGCAGCTGTCTGCACTAGGGAACAAGGATGAGAGGTGACAGGTGGGGTTTTGGCAGGGGCTTGGAGTTGGAAGTTCAGACTTCCCTGGGTGTGACACTGACCATGAGTGCCTGCTCCTGCTCTCTGGGCCTTAGTTTCCTGTTGGTATCATAAATGCATAGGGCTAGAAGGTTAAGTTGCTTTTGGTTCTGAGGCCCGTGCCCCAGTGATTACCTGCAGGTCAGCCCAGTGGTTTCCATGGGCCGCTACCCTGGCTGAGGTCCCTTCCTTCTAGGGGTCTCAGCACTTACCTCCAGGTGATGCGGCTGCTCCCTGTCCCTTGCAGAGTCAGGGTGCACTGGCAGGAAGGCTCCGGAGCTTCTCCATGCAAGACCTGCGCTCTATCCCTGACACCCCTGCCCCTGCCTACCAGGATCCCCTCTATCTGGAGGATCAGGTGCCCCGCCGCAGGCCACCTATTGGTGAGTGTGCAGAGGGGCCCAAAGCTGACCCAAGAGGGATGGCTTCCTTCCTGCAAGCTGTGGCTTCCCTGCCTGGCTCGGCCCTGGGTCTTCACATTGTGTAAATGCTCAGCTTGGCCTCGTGGGCCTTCCTCTCCTCCACGCAGGGTACCGAGCAGGGGGCCTGCAGGACAGTGACACTGACGATGAGTATTGGTCAGATACAGAGGCTATCCCCCAGCCGTCAGCACGGCCCCGAGAGAAGCCTCTGAACCGTAGCCAGAGCCTGCGTGTGGTCAAGAGGAAGCCGCTCTTGCGGGAGGTCAGTGGCGAGGAAGGTGAGAGGGAGGTGGGCTGCCCTGGCACTTCAGCCAGACCTCTCATGGTATGCTCTCTCTCCCCCAGGGCACCTCCCGCTCTCTGAAGGTTCGGACAAGGAAAAAGACTGTGCCCACAGATGTGGACAGTTAGGGTCTGTGGAGCTTGGCCAGTCTTACCTCGTGCCCTGCAGGGTGCTGGGCTGTTTAGAGGGGACCACTGCTTGTACTGCTCACACAATCTGGCCTACCTGCACCAGCTGTCCAGGCTCTGCTCTCCAGGTTCCTGCTGCTGGTTAAGAGCCAAGGGCAGGCGCTGCTGGGGCCATGCACAGGGATGTGTCCACAGTATACCAAAGCAGACTGGGCCCAGGGTTCTATTTATTGCCTTTCTCATCCCTCTACCTTCCCAGATGTGGGACCAGAGCCTCCCCATAGTCCCGTCACAGGCGCCCACAAATGAAACCAAAAGCCCACCCAGTTGTGTCATTCCTTCCTGTCCTTCAAAGTACTTGACGGCCTTCTCTAAGGCCTTGTGTGTGTGTCCTGGTTGTATGTTTTATGTTGGTGAATGAGGTCAGATTTGTGCAATTTTGATAAATACATAAAAGTGTTCTGTTTCTTCTGGTTTGTATCCCCAGTCCTCAGCACACATTGTTCAGTAGCCTGCTGTAGGCCAGTCCTAGCCTAGGACAATGGCTAAAAGGACAAAGAGACAGACAGGGGCCCAGTCTTCTGAGGAACATAGCCATTGACAGATAGTTGTGATGTGGCAAGTGTTGTCAGGAAAGCTCTTGGGGACCTGTGAGAAACACAGGTGTGGCAGTGGGGTATCCACACCTGAGAGGGGTCAGAATAAAAAGACTGCAGCCAGGACATGGGATTGGGTCTTGGCAGGAAGTAGAGATCAGTGGGAGTGAAGGTGTGGAGGGAGCTGGGGTGGCATAGTAACCCCATTGGGATTAGCTGGAGTTGTGCGCGGAGTAGGTCTGGGGAGGCTGACCTCTTCCATGGGCCTGCTCAGGTCTCTAGGCATTTCAGGTGGGTGCAAGGGCACTGAGTTCCTGTAAACAGCATTGTACCTCTGCAGGGTGGCCGCGAGAGGGCAGCAGCTGCCAGGGGCTGGGATGCCCCCTGGTTCCAGGTCAAGGAGGGTGGGGCCCAGAGGCTGGCCAGAGCCTTGCCCTGCAGGGGCCTGGCCACTGGCTGGCTGAGGGGACGATGCAGAACTCTGGCCTCGGCTCCAGTGGCCCTCCCAGCTGCTCCTCCCCTCTGCTCATAGCCATTGGTCCTCAGCCTGCTGTGTCCGGATGTCTCCTCCGTTCTCCTGAGACCCAGGCTCTTTGCTTGGGCTGGCTCCACTCCATCCCCCACTGTAAGCCCTGGGGCATCCATTGCTGGCCCTGCCCTCTTCTGCCCCTTGGATGCCGCTCTCCCCACAGCGTCCCCTGGTCCACCCCCATGCTTGCTCTTATCCTTCCTGCTTTTGATTAAACAAAGACGTAGGTGGGAAGAGGGGAAATGAGGTGGCAGCCTAGAGTGACCTGAGGAGTGTGGATTAACTCTTGGTGTGGGGATTATCTGGGTTTTATTTGGGGAAGGCACTTAATCTGCCAGGGTGGTTTAGCTACTCACATATTGGCATTCAATGACTTCCTGTCTTGGCATTCCCTTGCATCACAGTGTTGCCTTATGTCTTCATTTATTCATTCAAAATATTTCTGTTGAGCCACTACCAGGTACCAGGCACGTGGCAAGATACTAGGGGTGCAGTTAGTAATGGCTAGCACCTAGTATGTGACTGCCCTAGCAGATGCCACTTTAAGCCCCTGACATTAATTTAATCCTCAAAGACAATCTCATGAGGGTACAGACTATTAGTATAACCTCCATTTTATAAATGGGAGAACAGGCACTGAGAGGTCAAGTAATTTGCCTGAGGTCGCACAGCTAGTAAGTCAGAACTGGGCTTTGAACCAGGCAATCTGGTCCCAGAGTCAGTGTATTTACCAGCATGCAGGACTAAGGTAACTGAAGTGTTTCTTGCCTGGGAGGCAAGAAGCAGGAGACCAGCAAGTATCAAACACTGGTTGTGTGCCTGACCTTGTGTTGGGCATTTTACAGAGAGTAATTCCTTGAATCCTTCCAATAAACCTGTCAGGTAGGACTTACACCATTTTACAGATAGAAAAACTGAGGTTCAGAGAGGTGAAACAACTTGTCCATGGTGGTGCTGCCCGTGGGCCTGGGCCCTGTCTTCTGAGGCAAGCCTGCCCAGCAGTTGCCTTGGTAAAGGTGAGATGGCAGGATCCACAGGCCTGAACTGAGGGAACAAAACAGAAGATGTGATGAATGGGCAAAATGAAACAAAAACTCAAAAGTTGCTGGGGGAGGTCTGGCATCGCGGGATAGTGGGTGAGTGTTCACGGGAGCCCCGGCCTTACCTGCCCTCCTTCCTAGGGTGGGGCCTTCGGGTGAGCAACAGGGTCTCTGGGCCCCTGGGCTGAGTCGGTCATGCCTTCTCAGGCCTGAGATCGCCACCATAACTCCAGCCTCCTCGCTAGACCAGCTGCCCCAACTCCTGCCCTTGGCCACGTTGCTCCTATTTCTGAATCCCGAGCATGTAACATTCATTCCAGCTCAGCTTCCAACCTTTGTTCCAGCTGTATGGATCCCCTGGCCTCCAGTCTTTCCCACCAGTCCTGCTCTGACCGCTGCTAAATTCCAGCCTGCTCACCCTGTCCTGGACTGGGTGGCTATGCTGTGGGCTATGCTGGGCTGCCCAGCATCCCCTGCCCCCTACCTGGCCTTCTCTGCACTTGAATTGCTTTGTAAGTCCAGACTGTCTCATAGCTGCATGCTGTTCCTCTGACATGATCTCTCTCCCCCGCCCCAACTCTGTCCTATTCCCATTTGCTGTTTGCACCCCACTCAGACATCACCTCCCCCAGGAAGGCCTCTGTAAGTATTCCCTCTGCCCCCTTGGACTTGACTGCTCATCCAGACCACACCGTTTCTGCTCTTGCATAGACTTCTGTTTTTGCCTTGAGCATGTCATATTTTCTCCCCCAGTGCACTGTACTTTATAAAGAAGTCTCACATCCTATTCACTTTTTTTTTTTTCCCTCTTCACTTTTATATGCCAGCCTGGAACAAATGGTGGTTTAGCCAAAGTGAAATATTGTCATATATGTGTGGCTTAGTGGTAAAGGCCTACTTATCTCTGACTTCTGAGCTCAACTATCATCTCCTCCATGAACCTCCCCTGACTTCCTCAGCGGAGACTAGGAGCCCCTGGGAATCATCTGTTAACATGATTCCAGTAGTCACCCACAGTGCCCAGCACAATGTCTCTGATGCCTAAGGGGCCTCAGTGAATGTTTGCTGGTAAAAGAACAAATGCACAGAGTGAGTATAAGCTTCTCCAGGGCAGGCATGGCCTGGGGATCTGTCTTTGTGCCCCGTCCCATCGGAGCATTGAGATGCGAGGGTCTCTATAACATGTGTCCAGCAAATGGCTGCTGCAGCTGTATGGGTTCTAAGGCATCCTGGGGCCAGAGGGGAAGGGGCAAGGAGAACTCCAAGGCTGGGGGCATTTCTGGCCAAGCATGAACATGATCCTGAAACTGCAGCATTGGGTGTGGGCTGGGCTTGCTTCAGAACCCACCCAGTACCCCTGAGACAGAAGCCCAGCACTGCCACCCTCTGCATGCGGCTCCTGGTCCATCTTTCACCCCCTCTGATCTGGCCTCCAGAAGAACGTTAGGCTGTGCTCTGGCCTGCCCACAGTCCCCAACCTTCTATTACCTACCGGTGTGCCCACTGCCTCCCCAGGCAGGGTCAGTGCTGGCCAGGAGCACGGATATGCCAGGTACTGGGACCTGTACTAGGTACCCGGCAGGGAGATGAGGCCATGTATACCAGCCCCCTTAGAAGCACGGACCTCTGCTTAGACAAGGCACCAGCCCCGGGCTTCCTCTTTGGCCTCCCCACCCAGCCTGCCTGCTCTTGAGGGACTCCACCATTGCCTCCAAGTCCCCAGGTGCAGGTGGCCCTTCCTCCCCAACCTCCTCCCTCCCCACCCATCCCAAGGTCTTCTCAGGTGGTTCCTCTTTCTTCCTGCCTCCTCAGCTCCTCTGGGCTGTGGCCCCTCCATATACTGGTCCCCCTTCCCACCTCTGGATTCCATGTGCACTGGCCCCCACTGCTGTAATTTTAGCTAGCACTGTCAGGGATGGCCACGTAGGCAGCCTCTTGTTTCAACACAGCCCTGGCCCAGACTGAGTTGGGGAGCCCTGGCTGGTGCCACCCCACCCATGAGGTGGGTGAGGAACAGAGCTCCCAGGTGCTCACACCTTGATTCCTGCCTAGCATCATCTGGGGTGCCTGATAGCTGGGCAGGGGGCAGAAGCTGGGGCTCAAGGATGATGCCCACTGCTCAGGAAATCCTGGGGGCAGAGCTGGGGTTGCTAGACAAAGGTCCTGAGCCCAGGGCACAATGAGGTAGCTTTCTCTACGGGTGGTTAGATTGCAGGGGAGGTTTTGGGGGAAGGAGGAGGGGTGCTGGGGAGGTGCAGGCTGAGAAGAGGAATTAGGTCAGGGCTGTGGGTGGGTGGGCAAGAGGGAGGGGGCATCTGCTGCAGAGCTTCCTCCTGGCTCCAAAAGCATCTCCACACTTCCCTTCCTCTCCCCCTCCCCCAGGGCTTGGGAGAGTTCTCCCTGGTATTCCCCCTCCCCCAGGACCCCCACCCCAGGCATTGCCACAAGGGCTGGGGGGAGGGCAGGGGAGGCCAGCCTCAGCTGTCTGAAGGATGGAGGGGCTGGGGAAGTAGGGCTAGGTGCCCAGACGGCCGCGTGTGTGGGAGGGGATGTCCTCAGATGCCCTCCACCCGGCAGTCCCCGCTCTGACGTGGGTGCCCCCCCCTCCCCGCCCGGATTAGTGGCAGCTTGGCCTGACTCTCCGGGGCTCCTTTCCCCGCCCCCGCCTGCTGCCCTCCCCTGGGCAGGGGGCTGCTGTACCCGAGGGGCCCTGTGCTTGCCCAGGTAAGGGGCTCTGGGGGCAGCGTGAGGGAGCTGGCTCGTGAGTGCTGCTGCGCTTGTGAGCATGAACGTGTGGATCAGTGTACGTGTGTCAGTGCGTGGGGTCGGGGTCGGAGTCGGAGTGGGCCGCATGGGCCCACATGTCTCCGGGAGCTGTCAGCTTGCCTTTGTCCAGAAATCTAGCATTATGTCCACTGGTTGTGTGGCTTTCCTCGTGTGTTTGTGTCTTTGTGTGTCTCCTCAGATCTGCTCTGTCCTCAGGCACAAAACAGCCAGCTACAAGGGCTCTGTGGCCATGCCGGGGCTGTACTGCAGGCTGGGGAGCTGGGTGAGGGTGGAAGGGGCTTCCTCCCCACCCGAACCCCAGGGCCCCTGGGCTTTTCAGAAGCCTGTCCTGAGAGTCCTGATCTAGTCCAGAAACTGTGACCTGACAAAGCAGATAGGACAACTGGGGGTGATGTGGGGGGATGTGTTGTCCTACTCTCCTAGGACAGTCCCCATCCTACTCTCCTAGGACAGTCCCCATCCCCTTTGGGGATAACAGGGACAGGCCCTAAGGGCCCAGGACAGCCCAGGTTCCCACCCCACCCTGCCCAGCCTCTTCAAGGGCCCAAGTGGCAATAATCACCCACCCCCATCCCCGAATCTCCCACAAGCTTTGGCTGCCAGAGGACATAGATGGGGGACCACAGGCACACACCAGCCTCATACACACCCTGGAGCCAGCCTGGGAGTGGGAGGCCAAACCTTGGGGCCTAGGGATTGCAGCCCATGTTAGATCCTCCACAGTCATGGCACCAGCACACTGAAGTCCCTGTCACCCCTCAGCGGAGCTGGGGGAGGAAGAGAGTGTTAATAACTCAGTCATGTAAACAACCCCTACCAGCCTGCCCTGCCACACAGCCTGCCTTTGGGGGGAAGGCAGAGGGGCTGCGTGAATCTGTGCCAGCTTGACTCAAGTCCTGCCATGTGCCAGCCCATTGAAGCCTCCTCTCCTCAGGACCCCTCCTCTTCTCAACTGCTGAAAAGATTCCTTTCTCTTGGGGGAAAGGCTTCCTCTGGGCTCTTCAGGGCTCCCCTCTCCAGAGATGGTGGTGTGACCTGGCACCAGGCTGGAGGCATCCGAGAACTCATCCCTTCAATGGGATGGGAGCGGGTGGGGTGGTGCTGGCTCTGTCCCAGGCTGGGTGAAGGCAGGCCAAGGATGGCTTCCATAGAAAGGCAGGGGAATCTCGGGGTGGGAGGTGGGTGCCTGCGGGAAGGGAAGCGCCCACTGGGCGTGTGGGTTTCTATGTGTGTCTGAATCTGTCTGTGTGTGTCTGAATCTGTCTGTGTGTGTCTGTGCTCTGGAACCACCTCCGCAGAGGAGCTGAGATGCTTCCTCGGGTGGAGGGTGCCCTGCTTTCCTATTTCCTCTCCTCCTCTCTGCTCCCTCCCAGGAGCCACTCCCATGGGCTCCTCTCCAGCACTGGGGCTGGAGGAAGAAGCACTAGGAATTCAGGATGGGGCAGACCCCAGAACCCCAGGCTGGAGCAGGTGGCTGTCGGAGCTCATCTGATCCCACCTCCTCTCTGGACATTTGCTGAAACCGAGGCCTTTAGAGCAGGGACAGACTAGAGCCCAGGCCCTCCCAGAACTGCTAATGCAGGGTACTGTGCCACTGTCCCCTGGGAGAGGGGTTGGGAAGGGGCTTCATGAACCATGAAGAGCAGCTTGACCAGGTGAGGATGAAGCAGGGCAGATGCAGGCCAGCAGGGTGTGCCCATGTGCCAGAGCTGGAGGACCAGGAGCAAGTGGTCCAGTAGACACCAGGTCGGCTGGTGAGGGCCAGAGCGCCCATCACTGACCCGTGAGAACCCGACTACCCCTGACAGCTCTGGCACTGCCCTCTCCCAGGTGCCCCACCCGAGCACCCGGGGGGCACCCGCCCCACTGTGGCCTGGTCCGGCCCCTCCCGCCCTTTGCTCCAGTTCCCGGGCTTGGCACCTATAGTGGGGGTGCTGCCCGCCTGCCAGGCTCCGGGGCCGGGCCCACGGGAGGGTGGGGCAGCTGGGAAGCTGGCACGCTGCCCCGGGGGAGCCTCTCTCGGCAGGCGCCCGGGTGCTGCGGGCGGGGGGAACAAAGGGCTCATTCTCCCCGTGCGCAGCCGGTGGCATCGCCGGGGCGTTGGCGGAAGCCCCCTGGGTCCGGGAGGGGGCAGGCCCAGGCGGGGCCGCCGAATCACCGGCTCCTGTTTCCCTCAGGGCGCTGGAGGAGGAAACCGGCGGAGCAGCTTCCCCACTCGCAGTTGCGTGTCTGGCGATGGCGATCGGAGGTCCTGCTGCGCTCTCCGCCGCGCTCTCCCTCCATTAGCCGCGCTCCGCCGCTCTGCGGCCCCGCTGGTGCCTCTCTCCTGGTTCCCGGTATCGGCTCCCCTTCCAGGCACTACCCCTTCCCCCGGCCCCCCGGCCTTTCCCCCCACTCGGCCATCTCCGACCCGGGGCGCCCGTTCCCCCCGGCCCGGCTCCCTCTTCTCCTCCGGGGGCACCCGCTCCCTCGCCCCGGCCCGGCCCTCCCCGCGGCGCAGCACGGAGTCTCGGCGTCCCATGGCGCAACCCACGGCCTCGGCCCAGAAGCTGGTGCGGCCGATCCGCGCCGTGTGCCGCATCCTGCAGATCCCGGAGTCCGACCCCTCCAACCTGCGGCCCTAGAGCTCCCCGGCCGCCCCGGGGGAGAGAGAGCGCGAGCGCGCTGAGCAGACAGCGCGGCTGATCGAGTCCTCGCCCGCCGGCCCATGGGGAGCGGGCGCCCGGCGCCGGCCACCACGACCGCAGCCGCCCGCACCGCGTCCGGCCAGCACAGCCCAGGTGAGCGTCAGGGGCGCGCCTCCTGGGGACGCTAACAGCGGGGCATTGCTGAGCCAAGCCCGCGCCCCACGCCGGGAGTGAGCATCCCGTGCTCGTCGCGGCCGTGCCACACATCTGACAAGTAGGATGCCCGACGCAGTCGGAGCGGTGGCCCCAGAAAACCCCAGCGTCTACTGTCACGGCTCCCTGGGCTTCCTCACCGCCGTCCTGGGGCTTCAACCAGCTCGCTTAGGGGGCCCGCGCTTGGAGAGCTCTGAGGCTTTGGTGCCACCTGTCATCCTGGTCCTTAGCGCGCCCGTTCAATTTTCCCTCCTTTGCTTCTCTCTGGGGCCCAGCCTGCTTTCCCCGCCTCCTTCCCGTCTCCCCGCCAGGCTGCCTTTACCAGCGGCCACTCGTGGCCCTGGCACTGCCGGCCGGAATGGGGCAGCTTGACCCATCTCAGCTGAGTCCTCTTAATCCCCCTCTCCGGTGCCGGCTCACTCCTGCCCTTGGGGGCCGCGGTGGAGCTCCCAGCCCCCAGCAGTTGTCCTGGCCTCTGCTTCAGAAGCCAAGGAACTGCAGAGAGCTGGGAAGAGGCAAAATCAGGGCTGCTCAAGGAGAGAGATGCACCAGCCGGCGCTCCTCCTCAGGCACTCCAGCCTGCCCTGCCTGCACTTCCCACCTCTGTGATCCTGGGTGGCGCTGGGGCTTGGGGTGGGCACGCAGCACCCCAGACCCACAGACTGCCATGTGGGAAGAGGCCTCTGAGACAGCCAGCTTCTGAGCCCTATTTTATACAAGGCCACACTGAGGCCCAGAGTGACATGCTTGCCTGAGGTCACACTGGGTGGGACCCAGAGGGTGACTGGGTCAGGGCCAGGACCCAGTGCAGTACCTTCCACAGAACTTGTCTTTTGGGTTCTTGCCCCTGTCCTTCTCCATGGCTGGTGAGCAGGTTTTAGGCCCAGCAAGGCCAAGACCTGTTATCCTAGAAATGGCGGTCTGCTGAAGGGTTCTGGCCCAGGTGGGCTGTCAAGTCCCAGGCATTTGGGGGAAAGGGATGACCTCCCCACACTGGAACATCCCGCCTAGGCAGGTCCTTTGAGCCACATGTGGGCCGGCAACATGGAGCCCAGCTATGGTTGGCCCTTGCCTTACTGATTTGAGCCACGTTGGTGCTATCAGCATGGTGCCCACTTTGTATTAGGCTATGGGTAGGGTGCTTGGGGCACATGCCTAAGAAGATCATGCTATGCTGGTTATGCTCCAGGGACCCCCTCTAGGAGAGCCCCATGAGGGCAGGAGAGTGATGGAGAGTACGCCCAGTTTCCAGAAGGACACCCCAGACTGGGAGAAGACAGCCCTTGAGAACGGCATCGTGGGACAGGAGCCAGATACCCCACCTCGAGATGGCCTGCTCCACGGGGCTCTATGCTTGGGAGAAACTCCTCCCTTCTGGAGGGGTGTCCTGAGCACCCCAGACTCCTGGCTTCCCCCTGCCTTCCCCCAGAGCCCCAAGGACACGCTCCCGCTGCTGGAGGGGGAAGGCCCCCGGAATGGGGAGAGGAAGTCCAGCTGGCTAGGCAGCAAGGAGGGGCTGCGCTGGAAGGAGGCAGTGCTTACCCATCCTCTGGCATTCTGCAGCTCTGCATGCCCACCTCACTACGGCCCCCTGATTCCTGAGTATAGCAGTGGCCATGCCAAGAGTGACCCTGTGGCCTTCCAACCCTTGCACTGCCCCTTCCTTCTGGAAACCAAGATTCTGGAGGAAGCTCCCTTCTGGATGCCCACCTGCTTGCCACCCTACCTAGTGTCCAGCCTGCCCCCAGAGCGTCCATGTGACTGGCCCCTGGCCCCACACCCCTGGGTGTACTCTGGGAGCCAGCGCAAAATGCCCTCTGCCTTCAGCTTAGGCAGCAAGGTGAGTGTGGGGGCAGAGAGGGTTCCGGGGCTCAGGCCACGGAGGGTAGCTCAGTGCTCCCTGAGCAGCGCTGTCATGAGTACCACTCTGCCCTTCCATGCTGATGAAAGGATAAGGCAGCACCCAGGTCGTGGATACCGGCTGCTCAGAGTCAACCCCAACCAGTTCCCCTTCTGAGCAACTCCATCTCACTAGGCCTTCATCGTTTCAGAGACTGACTCATCATTGTCCACCCAGAGCAAGGCCCTGGGAACTTAAGCCCCAGAACATGTGGCCTTGTCCTGGGGGCAGATAAGGCCCTCTATCTGGGAGTGGGATGTGCAGGGGGCCCCTTGTCCTGTGTCTATGGCACCTCCTATAGGTGGCCCCTGTACCCAGGAGTGAGATGCCAAATATTTAGAAATCAGTATGGGACAGGGCATCAAACAATCTGAATAGGCCCTGGATGCCCATTGTCGCTGCCAGGCATTAACCTTTTAGTTGCTGGATTGTGGTCGGGCTGAGAAACCTGAGGATGAAGCAGGGCATAGCCAGGGCAGTGGGGGAGGAACTCGGGAGCAGTACCTGCGAACCAGAATCTGACTTCTGCAGTAGTTTCCCAGCCCTTAAGGCCACACAGGCACACACCTGCTGTTTGTCAGTTTTGCTCATCCTTTTAAGCACTGGGAACCACAGTCAGCACACTGTTAACCCCTTCTCCTCTGTTTAGGGCTTTTATCACAAGGATCGAAGCATTCTCAGGCTGGCGAAGGAGCCGCTGGCAACCATGGAAACTGGGTTGTTGGGCTTAGCCCCTGGTGGCCATCTGCAGAGGACAGGGGAGGTGGAACAGCCTTCACTCCACCCGAGGGAAGGCGAGACAGGAGGCGGCAGGCATCCAAACCTTTGCCCACTTCTCCTGGGGCATCCAGACACTGCTCCCCGGACCCCCTGGCCCATTTGCCCCCCAGGCCTGGTTACTCTTGGCAATGTCTGGGCTGTACCAGGGGGTGGGGGCCTTGGGTACCAGCTGGGGCCATCAGCCACATCAAGGTGCCCCTCTTCTGGGCTTCCTGCCACCCATGTGGGCTGTTGCTCATCTCACTCTCTTGCTGGGGATGAAGGTCTTGGCCCTTGTAGAAAGTGCCAGGAGGACCTGGACGGGGGCACCAGTGGGCCCAGTGAGTCCAGTGAGGAGGCAAACAAGGCCCCTGGTCCCAAGGCCTGCCAGCCCAGCCATCACACCAAACTGAAGAAGACATGGCTCACACGGCACTCCGAGCAGTTTGGCTGCCCAGGTGGCTGCGCTGGTGACGAGGAGAGCCCAGCTGCCCAGCTGCAGGCCCTCAAGAGGGCCAGCCCCGAGGTCCAAGGAGCAGGGGGCAGCCCAGTGGCCAAGCGCCCACCCGACCCTTTCCCGGGCAGTGTGAGGCAGAGGGCCAGAGGTTGGCAGGAGGTGCTGGACCCATCATTTGGGAACAAGGTGGAGGCAGAGCAGCGTGACCACCAAGGTAAGGGGGAGGAGAGGGCCTGCAGGCCGGCCCTTCTGGGGGTGGGGGCAGCCAGGACTGGGTCTTCGTGGGAGGTGGGGCCAGCGTGGGTCAGTTATGAGCAGATCACAGCCAGCGGTCTGGTTTCCCACGAGGAGGTGATAGCTCTCCAGGAGTTCCTTAGAATCTATGGGACAGAGCCTTCCAGCAAGTGGCTGTTTCCATCTTCCTCCTCTTGTGACGTGGTGTGGTGGGGGCAGTGTAAAGACGTGATTCAGAGCATGGGCTCTAGAGTCAAGAAAGCCTGCATCCTGACCTTTGCTGATTGGTACTGTGTGACCTCTGGCTAGTTACTGCACCTCTCTGGCCTCAATTTCTTCCACTATAAAATGGGGATAAAGATGGCACCTACCTCCCAAAGACTGCTGCAATGAAATGATATTCATATAAAGGGCTTTGAAGAATTCCTTGCACTTAGTAAACATTCAATAAATATTCACTTTTATGATTATTTGTGCCACAAAGCCCTGTCTGTGGGGGTTGCCTTTCCTGAAGGAACCCCTTATCCTACCCCAGGAATTAATAACTACTCTCTTGGCCACCTGGATCATGGAAGCTCAGTTTGGACTCTGCCAGTGTTAGGGCTTCTGGCATGTTCTGGCACATCCCTGTCTGTCACTCTATGCCCTTCGGGGAGGGTTCCAGGACTGCCAGCGTCAGCCTCCATTCTGCAGGCCCACCTCAGTTTCTTAGCCTCCTGGACTGCTGGGCCTGCATCAGGGCTCTCTCTACAGCCTTGCCCAAGCACCCTTGCACCTGGCATGGGTCTGTCCACACTTCCCCAGGCCTCTGCCTGTTGGCCCCTCTGCCTTCTTGGGTTACTGCACCTGTGGTCTGTGTTGAAACTCTCCAGCCTTCTCACCTTCCGGCACCCTCCATCCACATTGGGATTGTCTCCTCACACTGTCACACAGCCAACCAGTATCACTCAGCCCATGGTGGAGCTATCCAAAGTCTACACTGACTGGATCCTGCACCTGGGTCAGAACGATCGCCCCTGCTGCTTCACCCTTGGGCCCAGCCTGGCAGACCCTTCCTCTTGGTCCACCAGTGTGTCAGGGCATTCCCAGGCTCTCTGCTCAGCCTTTTTGGTGAGATTTCTGGCCCCCCGGTCTATTCTTGCTAGTTCCGAATGAGGCTTCGTAGGCCTGGGCTCTGAGTGTGGACCAGCCGGGTGCTTTGCATCTGCAGGACTTGGGGTTTGCATGAGCCTAGGAAGCCTAGAATCCTGACCTGCCCATTGTCTCCCCAGGAACCCAAGATGGCAGGGCCAGCCTCCAGGACTCCGGGCTTCAGGATACACCTTGCTCTGCAAGCCGGGCAGGCATCACTCAGTGCCACAGTTGTGTTCAGGCAGCTGGAGAGACAGGGGGTCTGGTCTGCCACTCCCAGCAAGGGCCGAGGTGAGCCTCTTGCCCCAGCATGTCCCCAGTGTCCTTCCAGCAGGGGCTCCTCATCACCTTACCCTGCCCTGTCTCCAGATCGCCTTCGGGAGGGGAGCAGCAGCAGGACGAAGACTGGACAGCCAGCTTGGAGGAGGAAGGAAGGTCTGGCCCAGAGGCCGGGCTCAGTAGGGGTCTCGCCAAACACCTGCTAAGTGGTTTGGGGGACCGCCTGTGCCGCCTGCTGCGAAGGGAGCGGGAGGCCCTGGCCTGGGCCCAGCGGGAAGGTGAGCAGGACACATGGGGCATTCAGGCCCAGGAGGGCCCGCCCTGTGGTCCCTGCCCTTTCCAAGGGAGCAGAAGCTTGCGGAGCTTGGCCCCTCCCTCCTGCTGGCACACTGGTCCAGCTCCAGGAGCTCTGCCCTTATTTCTGGCTTATGCTCTAAGTCCATGTTCATTCTGAAGTGTCTGGCCTGGTGGGGGATGTCGGGAAGGTGTAAAACCTGGTCCAGTGCAACTCTCTAAGAGCTTCTGGGCCTGTTGGGGAAACAAGGCTGAGTGCCAAGGATCTGCAAGAGCACCCGACAGTGGGGGACTCTGCAGGCCTGCATGGTGAGGAAGGCTTCCCAGGGTAGGGAGACTCCTGGGCCCTGGGAGGCTGGTAGGATTTGGGCTGAAGTTAAGAGTGGAGTGGGCACAAGGCATTCAGCTAGGCCCCCTGGCTCCAGGCTGTCCCCGCCGACTCCCTTTAATAACACCTCAAGAGCGGTCTTGTCAGTCCCCAGGTGGAAGCCCATTGGTGGCTTGTCCTAGAAAGTCCAACTCCCTTCCCCTCTCACCCTCGGTCCCATCCACCCCTGCCACTCCCTCGGCCCAGATTCCCAGCACACAGCAGCACCCCTCTGCCCGTCCTTCTCAGCTCACCTGAGCTTGTCTGCCCCCTTGGGCCTTGGCACTGTCTGTTCCTTCTGTCTGGAATGTCCTTCTCCTCCCTTTTGCCTGGTGAATGAAAGCTTACTCATTGCTTGTGCCCATTTGGGAAGCGGCCCCCCTCCTTTCCTCATCCGTCCATTCCCTTCTTATGCTCTAGCACCCACCCTGTGGTGCATAATCATTGCCATGTTGATGGGCCTACCTCCCACCTTGGAATGTGAGCGCTAGGGGTGGGGCAAATGCCAAGTCCTGACCAGCTCTGAACTGTCAGCATCCAGCCTGGGATGGAACAAGGTGTTTGTTGAATGAATAAATGAAAGTATACTCACTGGCATCCTTCCACCTACCATGAGGGCTTAGCCTAAAGTTCTGGGTGAGGGAAGAAGTGGCCTCCTAAGGGTCCCTCTTCCTGAATAAACCTCACCACTGGAGGAAGGGAGGAGGGGGAAGGAGTGTGTTGGAAGAAATGTGGGTTGATAACTCAGAGACAGGGAAATGCCTGGGGCAGGACTTGGAGAGATGAGGCACTGCCCCTGGAGGGAGCTACAGGGAGGCTCTTTGTGAGGGTGTCGAGTAGTTCAGGCTATCTGTAAGGGGCCTGTTTCTCTTCTGGGTCAGCCTCTCAGGGGAAACTGCTCCTGCTTCTCTCCATCTCTGCCTGCAGGCCTCCCACATAGGGCCTCAAAAGGTGCCCACAGCTCTAGCCCCCTCTGACCCTGTGCTCTCTTGTGGTCTGCAGGCTGGGAGCCAGCCAGGCCAGAGGACAACCCCGGTGTCCCATGCTGCTGTAACCGCTGCCACCATGGACTCTTCAACACCCACTGGAGATGCCCCCACTGTAGCCATCGGCTGTGTGTGGCCTGTGGACGCATGGCAGGTGCTGGGAGGTCCAGGGAGAAAGCAGGTAGGAAAGGGGCTGGGGGCCGAGGGTGGGAGGGCAGGGACAGAGGCCTCAGATCATCTGCTCTAAGGTTTGTGCCATTTCTCAAGGAAAGCCTTGCTCCCTAGTCCCAGCCTGAGCCACTTCTGCTCAGTGTCCCTCAGAGCAGACCTTTCCCCCTTCCCCAGACCAGAGGGCCACACTTAAAAGAAATCAAGTGCCCACTCTATACCTCCTACTTTGCTTAGCTTGCAATCTTTTAAACCTTATAACACTGTGAAGTGGGTTTTATTGCCCCCATTTTCCAGATAAGAAAAAGTCAGAGAGGTTAAGTGACTTGTACAAGGTCACACAGCTAAGTTGGGTCCAAGATTTAGATTCAGGTCTTCTGATTCCTAGTCTGGTTCTTTTCATAATTCTCAGTTTTCTCTCCATTGGCTCAACTTGGCCAACTGAGGGCTTCAAATTTCCCAGTGTTTTAACAGACTTGGCCAAAAAGAGTTCCAGGTCAGAAATGTTTCAGAACACTGTATTCTACACGATCATCTTGGATTCTTGCAACATGTGTCAACATATTAAAGGCTCTGTGTTCTGCAAGCACAGGATCCTATGTCACTCTTGAACCCAAGCTTCCCAGAAAACCCATGTTTCTGTTGAGCCCCTGACTCAGATATCATGCCCTTGCCTCTCTGCCTGACCTTGCTCTGTGGTCACCTTGATTTCCTGACCTGCAGCTTCTCCCTTCCTGCCCCACAGGCTCTCTGGAGCAGCCCATGGAGAAGTGTGCCCAGGAGGCTGGGCACAGTGCCTGTTCCCTGGTACTCACCCAGTTTGTCTCCAGCCAGGGTGAGCCATCTTGGAGGGGTGGGGCATGCTGAGGGCAGATCCTGGGGCAGACCAGCTTCCTGTTGGGGTGTCCCTCCACCTGATCCCATGCCCTCCAAGCAGCACAGGGGAGGCCTCCTGTCTGCACTCACTGCCACACTCTAACTCCCCTCTGCCCATCACAGCTTTGGCAGAATTGAGCACCACAATGCACCAGGTCTGGGTCAAGTTTGACATCCGGGGGCACTGCCCCTGCCAAGCTGATGCCCGGGTGTGGGCCTCTGCGGATGGAGGCCAGCAGGTAAGGAGCAGGGCAGGGGACAGGTGATGGAACACCAGTCAGTGGGCCCTGGGATTGGGCAGTGTATCTGCAAATTACTGTCCCTGGCAGAGTTTGACCCCCCTTTTCTTTTGATGGAATGAAGGACATAGAAAGTGGATGAAATCAGGCTATCTGTCACCTTCCCCTAGGGATTAGGGCATAGAGAGCAAGCTCTTGCACCTGCCCTACCTTAATCCGCCCATCCAGAGCTGCTGCCCACTTTGTGCATGTCCCAGCCTAACAATTGCCACATCATGCTGGAGCTGCTTCCTGTCCTGTCCCATCTCTCCTGCATGGACTCCTGCCAGCTAGTGTTGGTGCACCTTGTCAGTACCGCCTGCACCTAACACATAGCAGGTGCTCATGCTCAATATGCATTGTGCAATAGGTTTATGAAGTTCATGTCTCTATTATAAAACTCACTCATTCAAGAAATGGTTTATTGAATGCATTTTGTGTGTCTGACACTATGTCATGTACTCATTGTGGAATTCCATGAGCAACTTTTTTTCCACCTAACATTTCATCATATAACATTTTGCTCCTCATAAATATGATTTGAGGATTTACAAGAACCCATTGTTAATACTTGTGAGTTAAATTGGAGTGAGTTGCATTTGCCACTTTAAAATCTCTTGTTTGGAATTGGGGGGTGGTGGCTGGGTTTCACAAAAGGAGCCAGCAGAGAAAACTCCCCCAACTCCACAAACCTCCTATACCCGGGACACCAATAAGACCAAGGACATCAAAGAGGGTGAGTGGCTCCCCTGACCCTGGCTCAGGCTGTGGGGAGAGGCTGGGCCTGGGCTGGGGTTCCTGGGAGAGACTGGAATTGCTGTAGCCACCTCCGCCCCACAGTCTCCATCACTCTTCTCAAATCATTACAGAGACAATAAATCTAAATAAAATCTAGGACCAGGCTCCTAACCCCTCTCCAACCAGACCCTCATTCCAAGCCCCTCTTTGGAGAGGTTCTGGAGCTGCCAGAAAGAATGCTGGTGGCAGGTGGGTGCTTCCAGGTGGGCTGAGACTGATCAGGCAGTGGGGAGTGAGCACATTGGGCAGGAGATGCAGAAGGAGCGTGTGGGCAATGAGGCCCCCATGTGGAAGGGGCCTCCCCTCACCATTTTCTCCCTGACAGAGATCCCGGACTCTGCAGAGACCCCAGTGGAGGACCATGCCAGCCGAGGGCCCCTGCCCTGTCCCTCTCTCTGTGAACTGCTGGCCTCCACGGCTGTCAAACTCTGCTTGGGGCATGAGCGCATACACATGGCCTTTGCCCCTGTCACTCCGGCCTTGCCCAGTGTGAGCAAGGGCCCAGAGGGAGGACTGGGGCCTGGAGACAGAGGCTGGCTGGCCCTCCCTGTAGGCTCGGGCAGGTCCTGAGCCCCATGCCCCTCTATCCCTCTCTCTCCGCAGGATGACCGCATCACCAACATCCTGGACAGCATCATCGCCCAGGTAGTGGAACGGAAGATCCAGGAGAAAGCCCTGGGGCCAGGGCTGCGGGCTGGGCCAGGCCTCCGCAAGGGCCTGGGCTTGCCCCTCTCGCAGGTGCAGCCCCGGCTGCCTCACCCCGGGGCTTTGCTGTGGCTGCAGGAGCCCAGGCCTCAGCGAGGTTTCCGCCTTTTTCAGGAGCACTGGAGGCAGGGCCAGGTAAGGCTCCTTGCTGCCCAGCTCCCAGCTCTCAGCCTCCCCTACCCTGAGGGCTTTGAGCCCTAGGCCCAGGCAGACCTGTCCCCACCCTGGTCTGGAGCCCCCACAACATGCCCTGGCCTGGCCATGTGGGGTGCCCACCCATTCTTCCTGAGTCCCCTTCCCTTTTCCCACTGCAGCCTGTGTTGGTGTCAGGGATTCAGAGGACATTGCGAGGCAATCTGTGGGGGACAGAAGCTCTTGGGGCACTTGGAGGCCAGGTGCAGGCACTGGCACCCCTTGGGCCTCCTCAGCCCACAACCCTGAGCAGCATGACGTTCTGGGAGGGATTCTCCCAGTGTGAGAGTAAGTCCCTCTGCCATGGGCTAGAGGGAGATGGGAGCCTGAGCCAGGTGGAGGGCAGGAGTCCCAGAGAGGTTCTGGGGGCAGCTGGCAGCAGAGCCCAGGGCAGAAACTGAACTCTGTTGTGCCATAGGGGCTTCTGAACAAGAAGGTTCCTCCCTGGCCAACTGTCTTCCTGACTCTTTCCCTAGTTCGTCCAAAGTCAGAGGAGGGCTCAGTCCTCCTGCTGCACAGAGCTCTGGGGGACGAGGACACCAGCAGGTTTGTATGGCACCACGGGTGGCCCCTACCTCCCCAGCCACTGCCCTGTGATCCTCAGGGCCTCATGCTTGCCTCTGGGACTTACCCAGGAGTGGAGAGCTTTGACGGGGTCTCTGGTGCCTGGGTTGAGCCTGCTGGGCATGACCCGCTCCCTGCATAGGGTGGAGAACCTGGCCGCTAGCTTGCCACTCCCGGAGTACTGTGCCCGCCATGGGAAACTCAACCTGGCTTCCTACCTCCCACCTGGTCCTGCTCTGTGTCCACTGGAGCCCCAGCTGTGGGCAGCCTATGGTGAGTTCCTGCTCCATTCTTGCCCGGTCCCTGTCCTCATTCCTGTCATCTCTGGGTGCACATGCATCTGGTCAAGGTCCCGGTGCCCATTTCCAACTATCCTTTCTCTACCTCCATGCAGGTGTGAGCCCACACCGTGGGCACCTGGGGACCAAGAACCTCTGTGTGGAGGTGACCGACCTGGTCAGCATCCTGGTATGTGCTGAAGCCCCACTGCCTGCCTGGCACCGAGCACAAAAAGGTGGGTCCTCAGCCAGAAGCAGGGGTGGGCAGAAGCTGCAGATGCAAGATACTGTCCCTGCCTGCCCTGGGCACTCCTGAGCTGTCTTTTCCCCTTAGACTTCCTTACAGGCCTGGATGGGGAGGGGCTCTGGTCTCCAGGCAGCCAGGCCAGCACCGTGTGGCATGTGTTCCGAGCACAGGACGCCCAGCGCATCCGCCGATTTCTCCAGATGGTGAGGAGGGAGCCGGGCCCTGTCCCTCCCCGGGACAGCCTCCACTCACACGGACAGGTGCAGAGAGGGGGCAGGCTGGGACCCTGTGAGCGATGTGCATGGAGCTGCCGTACTGTGCTAAGGCCTTAGGCACACCACAGTTATTTGTCATAACCACCCTGGGTGGCAAGCACTGCTGCTTTCCCATTTTGCAGATGAGAAAACTGAGGCTGAGTGGTAGCCCTGGGGCCCTAGCTGATGGCAGTTCTCATGCCCGGTACTGTGCTTCTCCTGGGGGCAGGGGCAGGTGCCTCTCCTCCGTGGGCTCTGGGTGGAGGCTGGCAGAGGGCTGAGGAAGCCCATCTTGCCATCCCACAGTTACCCTTCCCGCCTCCTGTGCCTTATGAGGATGGGTCCTTGGAGGTCCTGGCAAGTCAGGGCTGAGGGGGCAGTGTGGTCAGTGGGGGGAAAGACTGGACCAGGATAAGAAGCAGGGGCAGGAGAAGATGAGGGGGAGCCGGAGGCAGGCTGTCCACCCGCTCCTGCCCACAGCATGCATTTCTGCAGGCACGGTCACAGATACACACAGGTCCATAGGTGCTTGCTCAGATGCTGGAACGGGCAGAGGGGGGCAAACAGAGCACACCTCCCCACTGATGGCCTCACCTGCTGAGGGCAGTCCCCCAGGGCCAAACCTGATGCTTCATAGGGAAGGTCGGAGGGGCATATGCTTACTGGGTGGCCTGGGAAACACTGCTCGAGCCCCAGGATAGACTTGAACCTCTGAGGGCCAAGGAACCTTGGCATCTGCCTCAGCTACCTTAGAGTCCCACCTGGCTCACCAGCCGCCCTTCTCCCCATGGCCCAACCTTGGAGCCCTGAGCCCTACGCCCAGGGTTAATTGCTGCAGTCCTCCTGCAGGGGTGGGTCCAGCTGGCAGCCAGCTGCAGCATGGTGCCGGCATTCACTGTGCACACGTTCTCTGGGCATCTCCTCTGGCCTCCGCGAGTCTCAATCTGCCCAAGGAGCTCCTGCTCTGGTCGGACTGATGAAGGCCGCATAGCCCTGGCCTGCACAGGCAAGCCTGTCTATCCACAACAAATCAGAACTGTGTGGCCTTGCCTTTTCTGGATCTGGGATCTTAGAAGCATCTGATGAATGATGGGGATGGTCTCCTCAGGGACATACAGCCACTCCTCACAATTCAGCACACACTTGTGGACATTCATAGGACTCCAGGTGAAGAGCTCCTGGTAGAGAAGGTTTATGAATTGGGATTATGCAGACGTCTTCCTGGCTTTTGGAGAAAGGTGTACCTTTGAGGGAGGGTACAGAGAACCCAGGGCCAGGGACACAGAGGCTATTCAAAGAATCTAGCCCCAGGAAAAGCAGGCATCTAGACCCCCAGTCTCAGAGTCTTTAATCTTCTCTCCAGCCAAATCTCTGTTCTGCCAACCTGAGAGGCCCGAGTCGCTCACCACCCAGCCCATCCCCACTCCCGCCTGTGCTTCAAGAACTGACCTTGACTTCGAGCTCTTTCCTGTGCCCCTGGCCCTTGGGTAGTCCAGGTCCTGTCCTCTGCAGCCCTTCCCTTACCTCCGCACCACATGCTCATTTCCCCTTTTCTCCTTTGAGGTGTGCCCGGCTGGAGCAGGCAACTTGGAGCCTGGTGCCCCAGGCAGCTGCTACCTGGACACAGGGCTGCGGCGACGCCTGCGGGAGGAGTGGGGTGTGAGCTGTTGGACCCTGCTGCAGGCCCCTGGAGAGGCCGTGCTGGTACCTGCGGGGGCTCCCCACCAGGTGCTTCCCCAGGGGGCCAGGGGCTCTACAGAGAGCTCAGATCATCAGAAGCAGCCAAAACAAATACCAGTGACATGGTGTTCCCCAGCTGGTTATATCCTTGTCCCTCTCAATACGCCAAGAGCTGGGCAGGGCGGAAAGTCATAGCCCTGTTGTAAGAAGAGGAGGAACCTATTGGTCTTGACGTCATCAAATGGAATTGGGCTTTGTGTCCTCGGAGGCCGACTCTGCCTGTGCCATCTCTGGCAACCCCTTGGCCTGGTTTCGGCCCTGCCCTTTGGGGTGCTTGGGGCCAGATCCAGAGCCTCCGCTCTCCGAGAGCTGGGTGTGGGGGCCACTGTGGGAAGGAAACCTCGGGGACGAGAGGAGCAGGGCGCAGGGGGAGGGTGTGTGACCCGGAGTCTCTGCTGATCCTGCCATCACCTTCTCCCTGGCTCAGGTGCAGGGCTTAGTAAGCACAGTGAACATCACTCAGCACTTCCTGTCCCCAGAGACCTCTGCCCTCTCTGCTCAGCTCTGCCACCAGGGACTCAGCCTGCCCCCTGACCACCGCCTGCTTTATGCCCAGGTGAGTGTGACACTGGTCAGGAGGCTGGATGTGCTGCCCAAGTTCCCTGGCAAGCTGGGGTGGTGTAGCAGCAGATCCAACTCCGTGCCAAGCAAGCAGCCAGCCTGGGCCCACTCAGGCCTACTCTTCTTGGTGGGGAGAGGTGAGGGACGTTATCATCAACTTCTTATCCTCTGTCTTTCTCCTAGATGGACTGGGCCATGTTCCAAGCAGTGAAGGTGGCTGTGGGAACATTACAGGAGGCTAAATAGGGGGTCCCAGGTGTCTGGGGTCAGGGTGGGAGCAGGTAAACAAGGTGCTCAGTCCAGGCCCAACTTAAGCAGCCAGTGGTGCTTGGAGACCTGGGGACTTTTTGTATGTCCCACAAGCACCACTCTGGGCACAAGCAGGGCACCCCATTCCCTGCCTTTGACCTGAGCCCTAAGGCCAACAACCACAGTGCCCCTGAAGCTCACATCTGCCATCCACAGGCTGGCACCTGCTCTGGTCCCGCACCTCTCCCCGGGGTACCAGGCCCTCCAACTCCTGTGCCCCAACCCAGGCGACAAACAGCCCTTTCCTGGGAACCTCGGGAGTCATTCTGGCTTAAGCACCTCCTTCTCTGCCTCAGCCCCAGCTGTTGTATTGCACTCGAGCTCTGCTTACACCGCCCACATCCCCACTGTGCTCCCAGGCAGCCCTGTGCACTGCAGGCAATGCTGGACCAGGGGCCTCGGAAATCCTGCCCTCTTGCCAGAGAGCTGTGAAGTGTTGGGAGGGGTGGCATCAGGAGACTGCCCAGGCTTGGCTGGAGGGAGGGAGATGGGTGACGCCCTGCCCTGGCTCCCCTTCTCACCTCCCTCCTTCATGATTTCCATTAAAGTCTGTTGTTTTGTGAATGCTGCCTGTGTGGTTGGCCCTGCTCCTGTGGGCCACATGGACTGGGGAGGGAGGGAGACGTGGGAATGGAGCAGGGTGGGTGCCATCATATCAGGGACCTCAAATACCACTGCCTGCTCTCCCTCTGGGGACCTGGATCCCTGCCTGCTGTGGAGGAGCTGATGGAGCCTTCCAGGGGCTGTCCCGGGGTGTTCCTGACAGCTACGGCAGGCAGGACAGGGTCTCGCACTAGGGAACTGCAGAGATCCAGAAGCCCCAACCACTGGGCAAACTCCAAGCTACCCCATCTCTCCTGTCTGACCTGACCTGGAGCTCCGGGGATGTGGCCCAGGAGAGCCCTTGCCAGCCATCTGCCCTTGGTGCCCATGGCTGGCCCCAGGCCCACTGCTCCAGGCTGGCGTGCTGCCTGAGACAATTGACAGCCCCTCTCCATCCCCAGGGCCCTCTGGTGTGTCCCTGCCAGCTCCCCTGCCCATGTATATCTCAGGCCCAACATGCCCTGACTCTTGGTATACTTAACTGTTCCTGCAGCATTCAGGGAACTATTTTTTATGAAATAATTTTTTAAAATAAATTAAATATACTTTCAGTACATTCAGAAAATAAGAAAAAATCACCTATAAGCCCACCTTCACTCACTCCAACCCAACCACCAAGAGTATTTTCGTGTATTTCCTTCTAGTATTTTCTCCAAGGGTATGTTTCACACGTGGTTGAATTGGTATGTTTGGTATGTTTTTTACTTGGTTTCTTTCTTTTAATACTATTGTGATCATTTTCTGTGTTGCTACCTAACATTCATTTAAAATGGCTGCTTATGTTCTCTTAAGTGGCTCTGCTATGATTTACATAACCACCCCTCATGAAAAAAAAAAGTTTTCTTCACTGTTTGCAAAGCTAGGTCATTTTCATTTCTTCATAGGATAGAGAAAAAAGAACGAAGAAAAAAATGGCGGTGCTTCTGTGCTTCGCTGTGCCACTGTCTTCCTCTAACTGATCTTACTGAATCTTTTATCATGATTTTGTGGTAGATATTATTTATTTCCATTTTGTAGAAGAGGGAACAGGCAGGCTTGGGTTGAGTCACCCAAGGTCACGGCAATTTTAGTGGCAGAACTGGGATTTGAACCAGGGTTCCTGACTAGAGTTCCTGCATTTATGTGACAGTTTTAGTGCTAATTGGCCCATGCAGCTGGGCTTGCTCTCTTCTGTCCCCCCACCCCTCCTTCAGGCGCTTTATAGCTCATCTTATTCCAGGTGCCCTGAGTGACCATCCCTACCTTCCCCTTATATGGTAGTGTCCTGACGTCATTCTAGAGCCCAAACCTGGGGGCCTCCTGTGGGAAGATGGGGGTGGCCAGTCATGGGTCCTCTCTCCCCCCAGCAGACCCTCCACTGCCCTCCCTTGCATGGTATAGGTCACAGCATCCTGAAGGGTATGTTGGCTTTGACTTCTTGCAAACAGCAAGTGGACCAACTGTTCCTGGACCAGCCCTGGCAATGAAGCCAGTCCAGGTGGGGACTGACGTGGAGACAGCTTGGGGCAAACAGCGGCCCCCTTCCTCATGGAGGATCCGCTGGCTCAGCCCCGTCTGGCCCTGCCCTTGGCCTCTGCTTCTCCAGGCATCTCCAACCTTCTGCTCAGGCTCCTGTTGCTGGCCCAGATAGCACAGACTCACAACCCTCAGAGCTGCAGGTGACCTCTGGATGTGTTATCCAATGCTCTTTTCCTTTTTTCTTATAAAGTACATTGTTTGGACTTTCTTTCTGACATGATTATATATTTACAACTCACAAAGATAGTAAAGTTCCTAATCACCCTTCATCCACCTCCTCGTGTTAACATTAAATAACCATGACAGCGATGAGAACTCAGATTGGTACCAATACAAAACTATCAACTAGGCAGACTTCACTGGGATTTCACCAATCATCCACCAATGTTCTTTTTCTGCTTCTGTATTACACCTATGGCTGCATCTCACATATGGCCTAGAGGGGGATGTGGCTCCCCCAAGGTTGCTCAGCAAGCTCCTGTGGCCAAGTGCTGGCTCGAGTCAGCCCTCCTCCCTGGGCTACCGTCCTCACCTTTCCAACTTTGTGGGTTTGCTGCTCTGAAAATGACTCAAACTCAGGCACTCCCTTGCCCCACTCTGCCTGCCCATCCATTCCGGTTTTCGAGGTTGCCCACACTGCCTTCCGGCACACATGCTCACAAACCCGTGTGTCCACACTCCTTGAAACAGCTGGCCCAGGCTTTGCTCCTATGGTGCTTTCAGGTGCCTCACTGCGTGTTCTACCGCTTGGCCACCCTTCTCCACCACGCTGCCCGGACATCCCCGCCAGCCAGTGCTCTTCCCTTGCGGGCATGGAGGACTCAGGGTAAACTGCAGGAGACACTTGTGTCTGGTTCTGGAGGTTTCTAGCACTGTCTCTCTCCCTCAGCTGTTCTGCTCTGTCTCGGGGCCTCTCCTGCCTCTGGCTGTTGTGTGTTCCCTTCCTCCCTTCCTCCCAATGCCTGGATGAGTCTTTCTGTAAGGGCCCTCCCTCCACCTGTGGCCCTTCATAGTTTACAAGGGGCATCATGTTGCCTCATGTGCTTTTCACCACAGGGGTGATTAGGTCCACTTAACAGGAGAGGAGTGCCTTTCCCAGTGATGATGTGGGGAGTGGAGCTGCGGTTTGCTGCAGTCTTTGCTCTTCCAGGCAGTTAGGCCGTCTGGTGTTTATCATAGGCTGACTCTGAGGCTCTCAGAGCCCTGCCCAGACATGACCTCACTCTTTCTCAAATCACCCCTGGGAGGCAGAAAGGCATCTGGGGCCAACACTGTCCCCAGTTCACAGATGGGAAAACCAAGGGACACACACCCACAGCCAGTATGCTGGCAGGCTGCACTGCAGTCCCAGGGGCCTGACTCGTGTCCCTGCAAGTTCAGTTGTTTGGAAGGTGAGAAGTCTTGGATAGGGCTGGAGGCAGCAGTGTTCACCAAGTGCTCAAAAGATTGTGGACCCAGTGGGATACCGCACAGTCTACTACAGGGTCCTGCCTCCAGGGAACTTGCAGTCAATTCAGAATGTGAGAAGGGCCTAAGGAGGCCAATCTGGTGTGGCTGGATTCCTGAGAGTTAAGTCTAGTTTCATGGCAGCCCCAGGCACATCTCATCAAAATGAGCCTTTGTGTGGCAGCACAGGCACTGTGGCCAGGAGGCCCAGGGTGGAGGATTGGGCTGCCTGCTGACGGTGGTAGTGCTGGGCAGTCCACAGGGCTCTTCCCACGACATATCACCTTCCCAACAACCCTGAGAAGGAAAAGCTCTTGTAAATCTATTCTACAGATGAGGAACTGAGGCCGACAATTTACCCAGGGGGATAGAGCCAGGCACTAAGCAGTGGCTAGACCTCTGGTTCCAAGGCCAGACTTTGTTCCACCAATCCACCATTCTCCAAAAGGGAGGTGAACAAAGCCAGCAGGAGGGAAAGGGGAGACGTAACTGGGGACAAAGGCTTGGACTTCACTGGTCTCACAATTTTGCTCCGGCTGACCTTGCTTCCCTGTCCTGAGGAGAGGATAAAGGAAGCTCTGAGGAAGGGTCCGTCTGAGAGGGATGCAGGTCACCCGAACCATCCACACCCTGCTCTCAAGCGCATCAGGTAGCATGAGCCAGGTGTGGGGGCAACAAAGATGCAGGAGCAGGACCATCCTGGCTGTCACAGGGCTCCCGGTCTGCAAAGAGGCCCAGAACTTAATGGGAAATGTGGTGGACAGGGGTCTGGCAGGCAGATCCCATCCCAACCCTGCTCCCTCCAAACCTGCTGCCCAAACCAATCACTTAGCACTGGCTCACACCCCTCAGCATTTTTTTTATGATTATTCATTTGATTTTTATACTTGATTTATATGTGAATCCCACATTTCTCCCTTATTTTATTTTATTTTTTTAAATAAAACGCTTAAGTGGTAGGTAGATGCAAGATAAAGATAGAAAGCATAAGTAAATGCTGTAAGAAGGCAAGTGTAGTTGATCGGGTCTGTGCCTATAGACTAAGTACTAATCCAAGCTAGACAAGGGCAACAAAACATCCACGGATCAGCATTTTTTTTTTATACGTCTACATCCACCTCCCCCACCAGATCGGGTCCTCCTCCGAGGCAGGAGCTCAAGTCTCCCTCCTCGCGGTGACATGCACTTTTTAATGAAGAAAGGTTATTTGGGAAGTGACCATTTCAGTATGCCACAGTATGTTTAACAAAAGGTGGACAATGGGTCCTGCCAAGGCCCCGGGCTGCCGTTACATCACCGGCCTCATGACGTCACTGTCGCTGGCAGCTGCGGCGCTGCGCACCGTACAGACAGGATGACGTCATGGAAAGAATTTGCGCCGGTAAGTGCTCACCAGAGGAATTAGGGAGGCTGGCGGCTAGAGAGGCCCGGAAGGGAGAGAGAATGAGAAAGACAGGAGGAGAAAACCCGCAAGGAAAGCCAACGCCGGCAGCCGTCCCCACTGCCCCGACAGGCGACCGGCCTGCTGACGGCCTGCCCCTGCCCCCGCGGTGAGCGGAGCGGGCCAGCCCACACGCGCAGGCCCAGGTGCCGCGCAGCCTATCAGCGGCCAGGGCTCGCCTGCACTTCCGCATTCGCTCTCTCGCCGGCCGGGTCCGCAGGGGGCGGGGGCGGGGCGCCGGCGCGCAGGCCCATCGCGTCCCACCCCGCCCGGCTCGGCCGCTCTGCGCGGCGGCCCGCCGCCTCCTGCGGTCCCGATGGCCGCAGAAGGCGTGGCGGGGGCGCTGGCGGCGGTCCTGGGCGGTCGGGGGCTGCGCGTGCAGAACTGGGACTCAGGGCCCTCCGGGGAGTCGCCGGCGCTCGTGCGGCTGCGAAAGAACGTCTGCTACGTGGTGCTGGCCGTGTTCCTCAACGAGCAGGTGAGCGTCCGCCCGCCGGCAGCAGCCCAGGCACCGGAGCGCGCCTCAGCCCCTGTGGTGATAGAGGACCATCTTTGCGTGTGGCGTCGCCCAGTTTTGCAAAGCACTCTCAAACTTGTATCTGAGCCTTGTGCGACTCGGTTCTGCGATTGTCCCCATGTACAGAAGAGGGAACTGAGGCTCAGGAGCCTATTTCATCTCACTAGGCCTCAGTTCCTGGAGGGAGGGCTATGTATTCCTTTCTTTACTCTAGAATCTGACACACTGCCCACCGCGGAGTGGGCTCTCTTAAAGATCTGTCCAGTGCTCCAGATATCTCCCTTGGTCCCGTTGGACAGTAATGGCACAGCCCAAGCTTACACTCGTAGACTTCTGACCCCCCGTGATGCTCATATTGGTGCTGATCCCTGTACAAGATGCTGTAACAGCTGGTGAGGTGAGAGATACAGTGACATATGCAGGCACCAATCAGTGCAGGATACATGGCAACCCTTACTGGGGGCCCTAATCCCCAGCCCTGAAGCAGCTCATAGGACTCTGCCCCTTTCTGAAGTGGAAGTCTGAATTGCAGAGACAGCTGCAACCCCCAGCCACACAAGGGCCAGTTCCCTGGAGAGCTCAACAGTTTGAGGGTGTCTGCGAATAAAGGGGGTGTTAGGTACCAACTGTATGGGAGATGCGATTCAGCTCCAGGGCGGGGAAAGGCGGCTGGCTGCACTGTTCCTCTGGAGCACCCGGTGGGCTGTGGTGGGGGTGAGGACCCTGTTTCTCCCCTCAGGATGAGGTGCTACTGATCCAGGAAGCCAAGAAAGAGTGTCGTGGGTCGTGGTACCTGCCTGCAGGGAGAATGGAGGCTGGGGAGACCATCGTGGAGGCGCTGCAACGGGAGGTGAAGGAGGAAGCCGGGCTAGACTGCGAGCCACTGACGCTGCTCTCTGTGGAGGAGCGGGGCCCCTCCTGGATCCGCTTTGTGTTCCTTGCTCACCCTACAGGTACAGCCCACCTGGTAGCAGTATAGGCAGGGGGCAGTTGACATCTTTCCCCTGGCTTGTCATCAGGTGAGATGAACCCCTATTCTGACTGGTACAAGCCTGGCATCTCCAGATTCCAGCCTGAGGATTTGACTTGGGGCCCCCTGGGTCAGGGCTAGAAGGCCTGGGGGGCGATTTACTCTGCCGGACCAGCTTCCTGTAACATAGACCCTTTCCCCTACACCATCCTTCTATCTCTTACAGGTGGAATTCTCAAGACTTCCAGGGAGGCAGATGCAGAGTCTTTGCAGGCTGGCTGGTTCCCGCGAACCTCTCTGCCCACTCCGCTGCGAGCGCATGACATTCTGCACCTGGTGGAGCTAGCTGCTCGGTACCGCCAGCGAGCCAGGCACCCTCTCATTCTGCCCCAAGAGCTTCCCTGCGGTCTGGTTTGCCAGCGGCTCGTGGCCACCTTTACCAGTGTCCAGACAGTGTGGGTGTTGGTGGGCACAGTGGGGATGCCTCACTTGCCCATCACTGTCTGCGGCTTCACTTCCATGGAGCAGCGGGGGGGCATCAAGATGGCCGTTCTGCGGCTGTTACAGGAGTGTCTGACCCTGCACCACTTGGCAGTGGAGACCAAGGGGTTGCTTGGACTGCAGCACCTGGGCAAAGACCAGATGGATGGAATCTGTCTGAATGTGTTGGTGACAGTGGCTTTTCGGAACCCGGGTCTCCAAAATGAGCCTCCGAAAGTTCGGGGTGAGAACTTTTTTTGGTGGAAGGTGGTGGAGGAAGATCTACAAAGCCAGCTCCTGCAGAGGCTTCAGGAATCATCTGTCATCCCGATCAACAGATAGGACGGCACTGTCAGTGGGCAAGGAGCTGGGTGTCTGCACTTCCCTCCACTCTGAGGGAAGCAGGAGCGGGGTGGCAATCTGGGATCTTGTTGCCCTGGGAGCAGGGCAGTTCCCCTAGTTCTGAGGCCTTCCCTCTCTCCTTGCTGTGGAGCAGGTCCCTTCATTGCACCAAAGGAACAGTGCCTTTAACCAATCCGGGAGTCCAGAGCTCAAGGACCTAGAGGCTCTGAGAGTGCTACTACTTTAGGGGATGTGACAGCTTTCTGAACCTAAGATGGCATCTGTTCGCTGTTTTCTGAGCCCGCCTCCGTAAAGGCCCACCCACATCCACAGTCTCAGGCACTTAGAACATGGAGGAGCTGCTGGGGGAGGTCAGTCCAAGTTGCTTGCTGAGTAAACAGGTGTTGCTTACTTTGCCTAAATGTTTGTTGGGGGAAGTGAGCCGAAGAGGGGGCTGCCAGCAAAAGAGAAGCCCCTCCCCTTATCCCACCAACAGCGGCCCAGCCTTCCCAGACAGCAAGCTCCTGCTGTCCCCACAGCCTTCCTTGGGTGCTCCGGGGCGCTCTTCATCCTGCCTGGCAGAGGCGACCTCGTCCTCTCCAAGGTTGGAGCAGTGAGGCCGGAAGCTTCATGCGGGTCAGGAGCTGGGAAAGCTGCCCCTGCCTCAGCTTCTTTCCCCTAGGGCGTCTCTGGTGATCCCTCTGCGCATCCCCCCGCCTGCTCCCTGGCTCCTGCCTCTTGACTTTTTTTTTACAAGTCCAGCCCAAGCCAAACCAAAATCCTTTCTTCATTTCCCCTCAGCCCAGCTGAATCATGGTTAGGAATGATCTTTTTTTTTTTTTTAAAGAACTTTACTAAAACTTAAGGGTAAACCAGAGGAAATGAACAAAGAAAATAAGCGTGTGCTGTTCACCTCATGTAATGGACAGACTGCTGATTCTGAGCAGGGAACTGGACTGGGCTCCCCTTCTGAGATGTCTGCAGTCTGGCACTGAAGGGCCGGGGCAGCCTCAGAGGCCCTTCCAGCCACCTCTCTGCCTCTCGGTGCTGTGGCCCTCTGGCCTCAGGCTAGCAGGACTCCTTGTTCTGAGGACAGACACCTCCCAAATGGTAAACTAAATCCTTTCACTCCGGTTCACCGTCAGTGTAGGGGACCCACCAGTCCATATCCATGTCAAAGGGCAATTATCTTTGCTCCCATTATTCGGCCTATAGTAGTTTTCATTAGAATCTGCTGGAGAGCTTTAAAAACTCTGGGCCCACCCCCAGAGATACTGATTTAACCGGTGGAGGGTGGGGCCAGGGTACTAGTATTTTAAAAAGCAACCCAAGTGATTCTAACACTCGGAAGTGAGAACCAGGGATCAGCTCTCTTTTGAGTGTTCAGCTTGCCCTGCCCTGGAATACTCTTGGTTACCCCTCAGAAGCTGCACACACGCATATTTAGGGACAGGTTTTAAAATGATCAGGCCCACTGTTTACCACTAAAGCAGTCTTACCACTCACAACATAAACGCCCAAAATGACTTCCATACAGATGCTCCAGTTGGTCCGTTCCCTCACTGTTTCCGGGGCTGGCTGGCTCTCAGCCATAGGTAAGCCGAGCAGAAATAGTGCTGCTTGGCCAAGAGAGAGGCTGGCTCCTGGCAGGCACTGAGGAACATCAGATTTGCACTGCCAGAGCCTGTTTTACACACCCCCTCCAGTGCTGGGAGAGAAATTTAATTTGTCCTCCTTGGGGAGGAAGATGGGCCCAAGTTAGCAGTGGAGTGCTGGGCAGGACACGAAGGGTGGAGGACAGGCACTGTGTCCACGCAACCACACCATTTATTGCTGTGTTCTCTGTAGGAATGCCCACGTACATCAAGGAGGGGAGTGTGTGGCTCCTGGAAGCTGGAACACTTTCTGATGCCAAGAGTCCAGACCCAGTTTTCTCCCTGAGCTCTGCTCCCCCACCCCACAGTGACAGCCACGTGCGCAGCCACATGCACGCACATGCATGGGATCCTTCAGAGCAGCAGTTAAATCCTCCCCAGCTTGGGGGAATGCAGAGGGAGAGGTCACCGAGTTTCCTCCTCTTTCATGTCACCTCTTGGCAACCTGTGGCCAGCTTCTAGAAGCAGATGGGCAGGAAAAGGAAGCAAAAAGGGCTCTGGCCTGCTCCTCCTTGCCCAGGAGCAAAGCCAGCAACTGTAGTCCTGTGCTGAGGTAATGCCTGGCGCCGCCTGTGTGTTCCTGCAGGTTGAGACAGATTCGGGCCGGGGCGGGGTGGCAGCCCCCGCCCGGGAGGGCATGCAGGGAGAACACCTTGACTGGCTGCCGGAACCCAGCCCCTCCCCTCCAGGCTTTGGGGGCCTGCAGTCAGGTGGGCATGCTGGCCTTACCTGCACCCTGAGCTCCCTGCTGCCCTGGAAGAGTATTCTGTGGAGAGCACTGGGCAGCACACCGAGGGTGAGGCCTGGCCTCCCCCAGCCTCGGAGCCCCTCTGCCCAGGTGGTGTGGACCTGCTGAGACGGGTTTAGAAGGCGCCAGAGAGAGAGACCAGCTGGAGCTGGAGCCTGGCACCCAGCCCCCGCTCCCCAGGCCCTCTCCTGCCCTGGCTACAGTTGCATCAAAGTTCTCATTAGCAGCTGCCCCCGCCTGGGTGCGGAGCATGCTTTGGGCATTTGCCATGAGGTGGTTGGGATTTTGCAATAGTCTCCAGCAGGGCTGAGCAGGAAAAGGGGGCTAACCCTGCTGGCCACTGCTCCTCCCCAGCAGTTCAGCCAAGACGGCAGAAGAATGAATGTCAAGTCTTAGCATCTATGGCACCAAGTGGGGCAGAGACGGAGCCCCTGCGCCTCCTCCTCTGTGGCCCACACAGGACCCGCCTTGGCGCCACCAGTCCACTTCCCCTTGTGCCTCTGGAACTGAGTCGCAGGCCATGGCCTGGCCACAGGTGGCCCAAAAAGCCAGGTGGCAGGCAAGAGCGCAAGGGTCTGGGTGCTCACCTGGTCCCCAGCATCCCCCCCGCCACCCTGACAGGGCTCTGTGGACACCATGCTAAGAGGCCATCTCTTGCTGCTTGGCTTCTGGTACCTTGGAGACCCACTCTCTGAAGCCCAGTCTGGTGTAGTCAACAAGCTAAGATCTGAGCTGACCTGGGAGCGGTAGTCTAGGCCTCCACAGAGGCAGAGATCCCTGGGATACAGAGGAGAGGGCCAGGCCCCCACCCGGAGAGTGGTGGCAGCAGTGCCAGGTGGGAGGCAGCTCTTGGGCAGAGGTGGGGACAGGAGTCTTCCCTCCGTTCACACTCCAGGCTCAGACATGTCCTTCCGGGGACGGGGAGAGGCGCAGCTGAGGACCGTGTGGGGGAAACTTGACAAAAGCAATGGCAGCCAGCTCCTTGCAGAATTCCTCAAGGACCACTATGCCCTGGAGGAGGATCTGGTGGTCCAGCCTGAGGGAGACAGGATGGGGGTCATGACTGGGAGGCACTGTGGCACGCCCAGTGTGACATCCCAGGGTCCATGAGGCACAACCCAGTGGCAGACACCTCTGAGGTCAGGGCTCAGCAACAGGCCCTCCTCTGACCCCACCTGGCACCTGCCACACCCTTGAAGCACTCCAACTTCCCTCGGTTACTTACTGCTCTCCAGGGACCTGACCCATCAGCTGCTTGCGTACCAGGAGCAGTTGGCCTGGGAACTGGGGTACCCTCTGAATTCTCTGCATCAAGTCCCCAATCACCTAGCATGGGAACAAGAGAGGACTTGAAGTGGGGACCAGTGACACTCATGCAGGGTCCCCTGCTCTACCACACCATGGGTGGACGTGGACCTATGCTTTCCCCTGGAGCTGGCAAGGATGCCCAATCCTGCTGCCCCGTTCCCTTCCCTTGCTGCCCCTGGCACTGGCACACTCCTTGGCCCAGGCATCCTTACCCTGACGAGCACAGAGAACAGGCTCCTACAGCCAGGGGCCAGGTTGATGTAGGGATCCAGGAGGTACTCATGGATCAGAGGGTGGGGGAAGAGGGCGAGCCGGGACAGGACTGAGGTCACTTGCAGGTTCAGGCTGTATGGCTGTAGGGAACACGGTGGACAAGCTGAGGGTTGGCAGTGAGGGTGAGCCTTTTTGCACTCCCCCAGCAAGGCGCCCGGCCAGTGTGAACGTGTGCGGGGGTGGGGGTCATGTGATGCATGTGTGTCATGGATTCCCTGGGGCTGAGGACCAGACATGTTAGGGCGTGTGGAGCAGAGGCGAGATGGGGCTTCCCGCCTGGGGAAAGGTGAGGGCGGGTGGACCTGAAGAACTGAAGCCAGGCCCTACCCTCCCGAAGGACTCCAGAGGCGCTGCCTGGCGTCCTCTCCCAAGGACCCTTGCCCTGTGGCCAGGCCCAGCCCTGCTGGCTACCTGTTCCAAAATCCGGGCTATACGGTCAAACAGCATTTGGAGAAAGTGACCCTCAAAGAAAGGCCGATCGGGCTCATGGGGGTCCAAGGGTGTGGGACCCGGGGGCCAGCCCCAAGGGGCAACTCGGGAACTGCATTCCTGGAACTGAAACAGAAGGTAGAGTTGAAGAGGTGGGCCCCAAGGCCAGGACCCACCTGGACAGAGGGAGCCACAAAGGGAGGGCGGCTCAGGCCTCAGCTAAAGCAGGGAGCACCCAGGGCAGGTGACACGAGAAGGCAGAGCTCATCAACCCCACCGCAGTGCAGGATGAGAAGGGCACCGGCAGAGGCCTCCACACTCACCAGTCCGTAAGCATCATGGACGTATGTGTCATATCCGGTCTCCTCCAAGAAAGCTGAGGTCTTGGCTTCCTCAGGAACCAGGCAGAGGAAACTGAAAGACAGTACCCTGGGTGTGGAGGGGCCGCGCCTGGGCTGCCTGCTCTCACGGCTCACCTCAGCCCCGAGGGAACACTCCCTCCCGCCGCACCCATCAGGGCCTCAGCCTGAGATGAACCGAACTCAAGTGGCCCTGCTCCCTACCTGTTGACAATCTCAGTCACAGCTGTCTTGCCATCTGAGTTGGTGACAGGGGCTGGGGGAGGCTTTGCAGACGGTTGGAAGCCAGAGTCCAGGAAGCCGTCCGTGAAGTAGGGGTCTTCCTCCAGGTCTCTGTGACCGGGGCAGATAAGGGGGGCCACCAGTGAATGACTTCGGGGTCTCCGGGGGCATGCTGGGTCAGGAGGCACCAGTGCTCACTCACAGAGTGTCCTCGTAGCTCTCGGGCTCAGGCGAGCCCCGGGCCACATAGAGGCGGCCCTCGAGGTTGCAGAGAATCAGGCCATGGACGATCTGCTCGTGGGGCTTCTGGAGCAGCTCCTCAAACAGTCGCAGTGTGACGATACTGATCTGGGGAGAGAAAGGGTCAGCAGGATGCCCATTCCCCTCCCAGCTTCTACAAGTGTCTGGAAACTGCTCTCCCAGATAAGCTAAGTCCCCCCTGGAGAGGCCACTCTTGGGGTCTTGCGGGGGTGGGGGCGGGGGGCTAAGGGAGAAGGTTTCGGGTGAAGTGGATGGGTGTTGGCATGGGAACCAGAGTCTGGCTGATACTAATTTGATATTCCATATCAGGTAAGCCAGCTGGCGTCTCTTTGCCTCAGTTTCCATGTCTGAAAAACAGAGTATCAGCCTCACCTAGCTCACAGAGCGGCAGTAAGCCTCAAACAAGCCAGATGAACATAAAGTCGTTTGCAAATGTCAAGTACCATCACAAGTATGTGATCGCAGAAAATTACTGTGTGACAGTCTGGCTGCCAACCACTGTGTCACTGTTTCTGGTGGCAAAGGGAGGGGTTTCAGTACCTCAAAAGTAGTACCATCTGGAGAGCTAATGAAAATGGGAAGCAGCTCCTGTCAGGAAACCCCTCGGGGTAGGGGGGAGGGCGGGGAGGAGGCGGAGGCCCCTCCCACCTCACCTCATCAGAGAGGTGGTTGCAGTGCTGGATGAGGTGAGCACACAGAGTGTGGGGGCTGCCCTCGGGGGCTGCAGGCTGCTGACCCGCGCCCATGAGGAAAGCCACGATCTCTCGCAGCAGGGGAGGGGAGCGAAGCTGGTGCAGCATGGCCGTGAGCAGGGCCGTGGAGGTCAGGACGCTCTGCTCAGACCTGCGGGGAGAGAGCACTGAGTTGGACGGGGAGGCAGGCCAGGGAAGGCGGCCGTGAGAGGCGGGGAAAGCCCCACTCCTAGTGTTCCCATAGCTCCAGCTAACGTTTCTCTGATTACCCCCCTTCCTTCCTGAGGTGGTGCTGAGCCGCCTGCATGTCAGGGGGCAGGCCTGGCAAACAGGAACCATGGAGCCCAGACTCATTTGACTCTGGCCAAGGAGGTTCCTGGCCTTAGGGACAGGGAGGGGCTCGGCAGGTGGGAGACCATGGCCATGTGCCCATGTGCGAGGGACCCAGTCATGGACTTACACGTGCAGGAGCTGTGGCTGCAGAATCCCCACGAAGAACTTCTCAACCATAGCTTTGGCTAAAGCATCTGCAAGCACCTGCGCACCAAGGGCAGGTCTCAAACATGGTTTCACCTCCATGGGCACCTTCCCACTGAGAAGTAACTGTCTTTGCACAGGCAGGGGCCTGTCCAGCTCCCAAGAGACCACTTAGTCCTCAAGGTGGAGACAGCCCAGGGAGCAGCATGGGGCAGGGGCCCCTGCAGAGCCTTGTCTAAGCCCGCCTCTGCTCACCGTGTGTGCCTCTGTGATGAGGTGGTCGCAGTAATCAAACCAGCCCAAGAAGGCAGCCAAGGCTTCCTTGCCAGGAAAGGAAGCCTCATCAGCTGGGGCACTGGGTAACCTGAGGGGGAGCAAGGAGGAGTCGTGAGGCCTTCCGCAGGGATGTCCGGAAGCTGGGCCCTTTTCTGGGCGGTGGGGCGGGGGACGGTTCTACTGTGGACTCTGGGCAAAAGCTAAAGTGACGTTTTCCTGGCAGGTGAGAAGGCCCTCGAGGAGGAGGACAGCCAGCAGCGGCCTCTGTCCCCTCCTGGAGAACAAGAGGAGCTAGCTACCAGGAGGACAGGCAGGGCTTCTGGCCTCTGATGACATAGGCTAGCCTACCTCCAGCTGATGCTCTCCAAAGCGGCAATGTCTGTGGGGTCCAGGAAGGTGGGCATGGACTGGTACAACTGGCAAAGGTGCTCAACGATCGCAGGGCAGCAAGGGCTGCTCTGCACCAGGTGGGTGGCAGCTGCCTGGGAAGCCACGCTTACCAGGAGCAGCAGGTTCTCCTGGGCCTTCAGGGCCACTCGACCTTTCTAGGGGATGGGGTACAGCGTCAGCTCCACATATCTGGACCTCCAAGTCCCCTCCCAGGGATTGGTCATCCGGTCCCCGCCCACTCCAGCTCTGCAGCCAGCACCTTGCTCTTGCACAGCCCGACCAGGGTGGTGACCAGGCTGCTCTCCCCAGTCTCTCCATCCGGCTCCTCAGTCCCGTCAGGCAGCTGGGTAGTCAAGGCCCGCGCTCCACAGGGACCCCTGTCGGGACCCTTGCTCTGGGGGTGCTCCTTGTCTTTGATGCTGGCTGCCTCTCTAGGCAGGATGCTGGGCTCTCTGGAGGCCTTCTTCCTACTGACAGTCTTTCTGCCCTGTAGAGGAGGTCAGGAGAGGCCAGCGGTGATGCAGACATTCCCTGTTGTGCCCTCCCCAAGAGGTGCTGGCTGTTGGGGTCTGAGTTTGGAGCTGCAGGGGAAGCTGCCAACTGCCCCCCTGGGTGCCTGCTCCACTCTCTGCTTCCTCAGCAGGGCCTGGGGGTTTGTCCAGGGGTCCAGGCCCTCCCGCTCCTGTTCCCCATGGAGTTGCTCACTTCCAGGATGTAGGTGAGCAAGGCTGGATCCTGCTGGATCTTGGAGCAGAGGACGGTGGTGAACTGCACCTCCTCCTTCTCTGTGAGGGATCCAGGACCTGTTCCACCAAGTCGGAGAAGCTTCTGGAAGGGCAGCAGGATAGAAACATGGGGGAATGGGCTGGTAGGGAGGAGAGGGGTGTCACCCTGGACAACCCTTGGCTGCTTGGCCCCTCACCTGCACAGGCCTGTGGACGTGGAGGTAATGCAGGAGGGGGTGCTGCACCTGGGCCAGAACCCTGCTGAAGAACTGAAGCACCTGCTGCCGCATGCCTGGGGGATACTGCGGGCAGGGAGTAGAGCTGAGCCTGGCATGCTCCTCCTTCCCCCATCCCATCACTGCTCCAAGGGCACCTTCCCCACAAGTCTCCTTCCTTCACTGTTGGAACCTGGCTGGTCTGTGTTGCCAATCCCTCTCCCGCTTTTTTTTTCCCCAAACCTTGTCATTGTTGAATGTGCTATACGCCAGCTCCTTGATGAACTCCCTCCCCTACTAGGACTTTTGTCTGTTTAACCACTGCTGGGTCTCCAGTGCCCAGGGCCCAGCCTGGTGCATGGCTGGTCCTCAGTACACTTTTGCTGAACAAACACAGGCTGGAGGAACAAATGTTTCCTCAGCTGGACAAGAGCGAGCAGATGAGGGGCCCAAAGCGAGAGGCATATGATGTGCTAGGCCAGGCGGCCTCAGCACCCCAACCCCGAGCTCGCCCCCTCCCAAGGAGAGCCTGGGACCCAGGGCCCCTGGTGGGGAGAGTCCACAGCTCCCCGGGGCTGCCCACCTCGGCCTTGCCCAGCGTGCACAGGGTCTCCAGGAGCTTGTGCTGCAGCAGGTACTCCAGGCAGGGCCCGGCCTCACCAGCCGCCTGCTGCCTCTCCTCGTACACCAGGATGTCCAGCATCTGCTTCAGCCGCCAGGGAATATCTGTTTTCTTGGCGGGGGTATTTTCATCTAACAGCAATTCAAGAAATGAGGGTGAAGAGGGTCACTTTGGTGAGATGAGGTCGGCCCAAGGGCCACACTGAGGCCAAGTTTGCTTCAAAGACCAGAGGAAAAGGAGGTTTACAGTTGATGCCTCCATATTTAAAAAGACAGAAGATTGCCTGGAAGAGGCCCAGGATGAAGCCCTCTGACCGAGGACATTTGCATGCCCTACACTTTGCTAGAGGGAGGCGGCATCATTTCTTCCCACCCAGGGCCCACAGAAGGATATGCTGCAAGGGGCCGCAGGCCAGCTCCGGGCTTAGTGTCTCTGTCACATAACTTAGAGGCTGTCTTCTAGCAGCTTCCCAACAGATCACCTCCTGTGGACTGTTTATGTCCCTTTTATGCTCACAGAGGGCAATACTCTATTTTTACAACGAGAATAAGAATGCGCGGGTGACCATGCCTTTGGGCTCGGACCTGCTCCACGTGCCCAGGTCCTGATGGAGAGGCTGGTTTGCGGGCTGTCTCAGTCAGCGGCCCAGAGGGCCGAGTGCTTTTTTAAAGTTTTGCCACTTTGGGACTGGCCTTGGAGCACCCCCTAGCTTTCCCTGAAAGCATAGACTCTTGAGCAAGGCAGCTCACCCACCCCTGCACCTCAGATCTAGGGACCATTCTGGAAATTAAGACTGAGTCCAGGTGAAGACCCAGGGGGACTCAAGTCAATTCTGGATCTCTTCTTACTGTCCTACTAGATGGGGTCCCTTGTCATGACATCTTCAGCCTAAAAGGTACAAACTTCCAGTTACAAATAAACAAGTCCTGGGGATGTCATGTAGAGCATGGTAACTAGAGTAAATGATAACTGTATTGCATATTTGAAAGTTGCTAAGAGAGTAGATCTTAAAAATCCCCATAACAAGAAAACAAAATGCATTAACTCTATGTTGCACTGGTTGTTAATGAGGCTTATTGTGGGGATCATTTCAGGATAGACACATACATTGCATCAGTAGGTTGTATGCCTGAAATGAATACAATGTTATATGTCAGTTATATCTCAGTTTAAAAAAAGAAATCTTCAATTTAAAGCAGACATCACCAACTGGGGGTGATTTGGTTCCCAGAGGACATCTGGCAGTGTCTGGAGTATTTAGAGAGACATTTATGGTTATTACAATGGGGCAGGGTGGGGAGTGGGGGTTACTGGCATCGAATTGCTGCTAAACACCCTAAAATGTACCCCACAGCCCTCACAACACAGAGTGAATCCGCCCAAATGTCAGCAGGGCCATGATTGAGGAAGCTGGTCTAAGAGAATGCTCAGGAGTCCTTCAGAGTGTCCAAAGGCCACTTTTTTTATTTCTAGGGCCGGCTCAGGCTGGGAAAAAAGTCTTTAGGAAAGGTATAGGCTGGAATCAAACCCCAGTCTGAACTAGGACGTGGAAAGCTCCACCTTATCTTACACAGTCAGGCCAGTGAGACTACCAGCTTCTTGTCCCCACTCCCATCTTACACAGCTCCTCTCTCTAAAGGTCAGAGTGGGGCCAGCTCCCAGTCTAAACTTATAAGCAGTAAATGTCATCTTCCCGGGACACCTGCATCTCTGAGTTGCATGGTGACCTGCCCACACCTATATCCCCACTCCCTGCAGGGGTCCCCAGGCTTGGGGAGACCAGGCCCCACCTGTGCTTTCAATGTAATAGTTCGTGATGCCCTTCCAGTGCTCCACAAAGGCCTCCAGCAGGTCAATGCTGGGCTCCCGCTGCGGAGAGAGCAGAGACACAACCTAAGTGGCTGCCACAGACATCGCAGGCCCCACCACCACCACCAGTGCTCATCAGGACTGACACTCCACCATCTACTAAGTGTCGGGGGGGTGCTAGCCCTGGGAGGAGGTACCAGGACCCAAGCTCTCAAAGGGACCAGTAATACATGCTCTCCAGCACACATCCGAACTGTTTCCTATCTTGTCAACAATCTCCTGGCCTTGCTCCCCAGAGCCCCTCTGGCTCCCTCCTGGAAATGCTGAACTCCTGCTACATGTCATGATGGCATAGTCCCTGTCCCAGAGAAGCTAAGCACATTGGTGGGGGAATAGACCCAGGAAGAGATCATTTCAGTACGACATGGTTATACTACAACAGAAGTACCTAGAGGAAAACCGGAAAGCGCCCAAAATGATACAGATGGCCAACACGGCACAAAGCTTTCCAGTCCCTCTCATCTAGGATCTGCCCGCATCTGTGTTCAAGGCCACAGCAGGCTCAGTTCAGTTCAGGTCAGCCAGAAGGGTAACACTGCCTACTGAGAAAGTGCCTCACTGACAATGTGCTTGCATCATTTGTCCAAGGCCACACACAGGGCACCCCTAACTCCCCTTTAGCTCTGCTCCCATCTGCACCTCCTCCAGCTCCCACTATGGACCTGGGGGATTCTGATTCTGCTGTGGGCAAGCCCTAAACCTCCCCCTTCCAGAAGTACCTTCTTCATCTCCACACCCTGGCTGGAACTGGCCTTAGACTGATAACTACCACTTTCCTTAAAAACTTCTCCAAAGAAGGGCATTTCTTCTCTATCCTTGCAGTGTAAATGTTTGTAGGAGAAAGATACATTATCATATAGTCCCTACCCACAGGTGCTCCTTTCTACCACTAGTCTTTGCTCAGGCCAGTCCTCTGCCCAGGAGGCTCTGCATCCCCTATACTCAAAGGTCCAGCTAAGGGCCACCAGCTCCATAAAGCCCTCTCCAGGATTCTGGGACACATCTCTCTCTAACCTCATGCTTTCTGTACAACAGAATTGAGTGTGTACTTCTTAAACTGTTCATTCAGTATCTTTTGAGTGCCTACAATATACAAGACACCATGGTAGATGTTACAAGCAACACAAAGATGTGTAAGATCCAGTGCCATGGAGAATATAAAATTGTGTTGAATGACTCAACTACAGGAAGAGTGTGAGAACAAAGGAGGGGTGGAACGTGACCTCTGGGAAAAGAGGGGTCACTTCTCACAGGCTGGAACAGAGAAGGCTTTACTGAGGTTATGCTGGAACTAAAACTTGAAGAATTGGGTCCACTTTTAACAACTAAATATGAAGGAAAGACATTTCCTGCAGAAGGAACTCTATAAAATATTCTGGGGCAAGGATGGACTGACTGGTGTACAGGGCTTTGAATGCCAAGCCAAGAAGTCAGGCTAATTTTTTCTGCAGGCAGTGGGGAACAGGTTGATGACATCTGTGAGTGGTGTATTAGGAAGAGCCAGCTGGCAGTTGTGTGTAGGAAACGAAGGCAGGAACATGCTCAGAAGGCCCTGCAGCAGGAGAGGAAGCAGTAACAGTCAGGGGCCTTGAAGCACGCCCTGCAATCCTTGGCTGCCCAGGCAATCTTGTCATCTTTCAAAAGTGAGCTGTGGCGGCCACAACCCTTACTAGAGTGGCACCTTCCACAGTCCTTCCAAACACACCATCCACGTGGAATGTCTGCATCTTATCACCTTATATGTGACCCTATTATTGTTGGGCTAGCCGCCATCTCTTCTGCTAGACTGTGAGCCCGAGAGCCAGGCTTGTGCTTCTATCTCTGCCTGTCCCGAGAGGGCGCCGTGCATAAAAGCTACTCAATATTTACTGAGTATCTCAGCAAACTCAAGAGGGCCTTTCTATAGTTCCTTGTCTCTTGGGAAGCCTTCTGACCCTTGACCAGCACAACAATTACCTCACAATTCTGTGATGGGGTCTCATCTAGCATCAAAATTCATTTACCATCTCCTAAAACCTTAAGCTGGGCTTAAACCAAAAAAGAACACTTCAGTAAGAACAGGAGAACCAGGGGAGCACAGGTTGGACCGAGAGAGGTGAAAGCAAGGGGATAATCTTGGCCTGACTCTATTATAACTCCAAACCAAAACAAATTGTACCAAATGATTTCTGAGGGTAACATTTTTTAAAAGAACCATAACGACTGCCATTCTCTCAGAAGGGGGCAGGAAAGAGCCCTCTTCCTCCACAAACAAGGAGTCAAGCCATTTGCTGGGGTCTTATCCTGGTGATCCAGTGGGGCAGAGGACCTACACCAAACTGAGGGGTGGGAGAAGGGTTCTCATCTCTCCTGATGGTTACACAGGAGGTCAGACAAATGTCTAGGGCATCCTCTGTATGTTGCATACTGAGCAGCCTGAGAAGACCCCCTGCCTAAAAATATTGCCCTTGATCACCAATACCTCCTCTAGCCAGTGACACTGAAATTCCCTCACTGGAAGCATTAGGAATTCACTTCTCAGGGCTAAGGTCGGCTCTGTCCCATCCACTCGCCTCTTGTATGCAGCCTTCCCTGAGTCAGGTCACTTTCTAAGATGACAGCTATTTTGAATGGGGACGGGAAGGAGGGGAGGCGAGAGCATGTTTGAGCCTCTCTGAAGGTGGGCAGCAGGGAGAGCAGGCTGGGGGCTGAAGGCGGGGACTTGAGGTGGAACCCAAGGTGGTTCCTCCTGAGAAAAATCTCATAAACCGACCTGACCAATTAGAGGAGGGTTTACACTAAGAGACAAAAGAATTAACTTTACAGATTCTTGGCAGCGTTACTATAAGTAGGGGCATTCCGCATACCCTGTCTAAACCGCACTTTCATCCTTGCTGAATGAAGTGAGCTGCGGTGGGCTGCCTCTGACCAGCCTTCGACCCCAACAGAAAATGGCAAAATGACACACTCCTCTTCCCCACGCAGCGGCCCCACTACGGGGGCCTCTCCTGACTCAAGGTTAGGCCGGCGGGGGCTGCTGTAGCGTGGTAACATTTAGGAAACTGCGCTTGTTCCCCGCAGAAGGCTGTTTCCGGGGCTAGGAGCCCACCGACCCCTGCATGGCGTGTGTACCCTTCCTGGGGTCTCGGCCAGCCCGGGCCCCAACCTCCCAAGCCGGGGTGGGCGCGCCCGCGGCGCCTAAGGGCGTGGAGTGGTCGGGGGGGGGCTCCACCGAGGGGCGGCGCGTTGGTTTGTTAAGCACAGGTGACGGGGAACGGAGGAGCGCGGGGCCGGGGCCGGCAGGCGGGCTGGGGAAAGGGGCTGCGGGCGAGCTCGGGGAAGAAACTACTGGGGATAAGGGAGTTCTCCAGCCCAGAGGCGTGGGAACTGGACGCGACTGGGGCGCAGGAAAAATAACCAGCACGCAACTGCGGAGAAGCGATAGGGCCTGGCACGACCGGGGAGGAGCTGGGAACGGGAGCGACAGGAAGCAGCCGCTCGGCCAGCAGGGCCGTGCGGGAGGGCGCGACGCCGAGAGGAGGCCCGGGACGGCGCCGCGGCCTGGGCAGGGGTCCCCGCGCCCGCCCGCCTGTCGGCTCCTCCCCGCCCGCGCCGCCCTTCCGGCCCCGGCCCGGCCTCACCGCCCCCACGGCCTCCTGCAGCAGCGCCCCGAGCCGGCTCAGCATGATGGCGGCCCGGCCCGGCCGGCTCCGGCTGCTCCGGGCGGCGGCGGCGGCGGCGGCGGCGGCGGAGCTCCCGGAGGAGGGCGGCCCGAGGCGTGCGGGGGAGGCGGGGCCCGACCCGGTCCGCCCCGCCCGGAGCTCCCGCCCGGCCCGCCCCCCGGAGCCCCCGCCCTGGGTCTTCAGAGCGCGAGCAGAGGCCCTGAAGGCCTCGGACGCCGAGCGGACACGGCGAGGAGCCATCTCAGGTCCCGCCGGGGCCCGTTAGGCAGCCAGGTGGCAGCAGCGAGCGACCCTTCGAGGAGGCGAGTGGGACCCGGGAGATTTTCCTAAAGGAACGAGGCTTGTGGATTCCGCAAGTCTCTAGACGCCCAACGCGGCAGCAGCTGGCCACTTGGAGCTGTCGAGCCCTGAACCGTGCCGTTCCTGGGGTGTGCGCGTGTGAAGTCCAGGCCAGATCCGAAGACTTAATGATGTCTTAAGTTAAATACAGTATATTATTCCACCTCATTTCACCTGCAGCTTATTGCTGCGGTGGGCACACCGTCGGTCCAGAGGTCCCACAGAGGAAGCTGCAGCTGGCTACAGTTTGCTCTTCGGACGTCACCAAGGAAAGACACAAGGTGGGCCTCCCGTGTTCGGGGCACACCCGGGAAAATTGTAAATGAGCACGTCACCAAGATTTAGGAGTCGGGGCCCAGACGCTGCTGCTCAGTGGGAGGGATGCGAACGCATTTGTGCACATTTTAAAACCACAACAATTTTGGTAACTACTTGTCTGTGTGAATCAGGATGTTCTCCGTAGGTGCAACCAAATACAATATATTAGATCCTGCATTTACTAAAAGTCCAATTGTCATATATAGCCCTGACTTAAAATTTTGTATTCATCAAAGCTCATTTTTTATTCTTCATAGCTTCTCATTTTCATAATAACTATAAAATCCAACTTATAAATGTATTCCAATTACTAATAGTAGGATCTAATTTAAAAAAAAGGTTTGCTTCTAAAAAGGTTTGGAAACCACTGGACCGTATAATCATCCAGGTGTTATGTGTTCGTGTGTGCTCATGGGCATGTGCGTGTGCGTGTGTGTGTCCTGGAGAGAAGGCACTGACTCTCCCACTAAGGTTTCGCTTAAGGGACAGAGCTCCACTTTGGGTCACTCGAAATCTCAGGAACTTAAATGCTTTACGATTTATCACCCAATATGCCTCCACAGAAGTATTTCCCAGTGAACTGTGATCACACACTACCTCAGTGCCCCTTGTTGCTCAACAGCCTGGGAGCTCTGTGGACACTGGGGTGCTGACCTTGCCACCACTGTGCCCCTAATGCTGGAACAGGGTAAGTCCTTCAAACATTCGCTGAATGCCTCATACCCGGTACTTGGGTGGAGACCATGCCTCTCCCTTTCTGCTGCCCCCTGAGAGGCAACTGTATATGATGGGAAAGTCCTGAGTTCACAGTCAAGGAACTTGGATGTTGGTCTCCATTCACCACTCAGTTGCATGTAGCCTCAGGCTTCAGATGAAATCTCTCTACTCCACAATCTTCTCATTTGCTGAAAGTATTGAAATGATCTGTGCTGCTGACCTTGCAGGTTGTTGAAAGGACGTAACAGTATGCATGTAAGAGAACTCCTAATTTAAAATGATCATCCCATTTCAGTGATTCTTACCCACTCCGCTTTTGTTTCAGCCGAAGGGTCCCTGGGGTGGGAGACTTGATTCAGGTCCCAGCTCTTCTTAGGTTCACACTGCAACTCACCTGGTCCTTCTGACTACATGCCTCTTCACGTGCCCACACCTAGGTTCTGTCCCAGCCAGGTGAGGCCAGCCCTTCCCTTGCCCCAAGCATCCACACCAAAGTCCTTCTTCCGATCATGTCTACTGCCCCTGGGAGGCCTTGCCAAGTCAACCAAGGCCAAATTATCTCTCCTCCCTTGGCCTCCACGTGACCTTGTTCCTGTGAGAGTTCACCCATCCCTCCTCCACTCCTGTTTTCCCTGCCTGATCCTCGACAGTCAGTTCACCACCTACCCAGATACTGTTGGCCTTTTCTGTGTGTCTGCTCTCCCCAGTGAACTGTGTCTTTGGCCTTGATGGGTGTTAGCATAGCAGATGGTGAAGAGCTTGACTGCCAAGGCGAGCATTTAGGGCATCCAGAGAGGGCAGAGCAGCCTTCCTGCCTAGCTGGCTCTCATACAGGGGAGTGTGAGTCTTGACCCCCTTCTCTGAGCTGCCATCACACCGCCCCTGAAGGACAGGAGGCAGCCAGGACCTGCTAGACCAGCTCCTGCTTTTGTGGCCCAGGGCAGGGGAAGGGCAGAGTGTGCATCTTTCCACCTTCTCCAACCATCTGTGCCCCCCACTGAACCCTTGTACCCATGATATCCTCAGCTTGGCATCACCCTCTCACCCCAATCGGGTGGCTCATAAAGAAGAAATAGATGTGGGGACCCAATGCAAACTTTTAATTCCAAGCAGAGTCCCCCTCCCACAGCATCATCATCACACACACACACACACAGTGGGGAGGGATGCCAGGGTCTGGGCAGGAACAAAACCCAGACCCCAACAAAAAATATATATATATAATTATATACACATATGTATTTGTAGAGAATAAAAGCTGGGTGTGTGATTAGGGTAGGGCAGAGGATTAGGTGCAGAGAGCAGCTGGGGGGGCCCCAATAAGTTACATTCTTCAGAGAGCATGATGGGGAGGTATGAGGGTGGGCAGGACCTGGTAGCCAGGACACAGCCTGGCCTCTTGGTCCCAACCAAGGGAGCCTGAAGGCCCGGGTTCCGCCCAGGACCTGAGTGCTAGAACGTAGGATTCTAGCTGACTTTGCCTGAAGGCTGATGGTGAGCTGGGGTTCTGTATAGGCGACATCTCCACTCAAAGCCAAGGAAGGCTTCTGGGGAAGCCAGGGGGCTGGAGCAAGAGGCTTTGAAGCTTAGGGGTTGAAAGAAGAGGACAGAGTGAGGCTGGAGCGCAGGGTGGCCTCCCTGCTGGAGGCTGAGCCCAAGCCTGCTCCTGCTGGAGTCAGAGAAGCCAGAGGCCCAGGTGTGTGGGGAGCTGTCCACGGTGAGGTAAGGAGGGGCGCACATGGGCTCCCAGAGTCCCAGGGGCCCCCACCAGCTCGCCCACCACCCAGCTGCTTCCCAAGCTCCCCCTCCAGCTAGGGGGCCCCAGGGTTCCACCCTCAGTGGCCAAGGCTGTGGACAACCTGAGCACCAAGCTCCCTGTCCGTTTTCCCTCTCTTCTGGGGACCTTCACTGGGGTGTGGGCAGGGAAAGGGTGCAAACATTAACTCTGTGTGTGCTGGAGTCCAGATGGGGTTTGCCTGTGCAGTGAGGCCCACATGAGAGAAGGAAGCCCCTGCTCCTCTGGAGAAGAAGTCCAAGTCCCACCACCCAGGGCTGCAGAGGTCCTGGCTCTCCCCGGACCTGGGGAAGGGAGCCAACCCTACCGCGGCCCCACCTCCCTGCTCCCCCAAGAGATGATGCTTTGGGGTCTGGTGACCCCAGCTCCAGAGCCCTGAAGTGGCAGGGCTCAGTCATGGAGAGGGAGGGGGCGATCAGAAGAGAGAGGCCTTCTTCTTGAGTTCATTCCGCTTCCACAGAGCCAGCTTGCTGAAGTCCTCGGGAGACATGGAAAACACCCTTGAGAAGTCCTCCGCCGACAGATGCCTCTGTAGGACACAGGGAGACAGCTCAGGGCTCAGGGGCTCGGGGGTGGGCTGAGCCAGGTGACTGGGGACACCCAGAGAGGCTTCCCCCAGGGGGGCGGCTGCCCTTTGCCGCCTAGCAGGTCCTCCCAACCCCCCTGCACTGCCACGTTCTCCTTGTGTACCTCCAGCCTCATCCGGTCCACACCTCGAGGCAACTTGGTTCTCCCCTTAGTGGTCACCACCAGCATTTCGTAGGGATAGATCTGGGGGGCAAGGGCGGTGTTAGGCTCATGGGGTTCCCTGTCAGCATATCCCCCTCTACTCCCTAGGCCCCTACAGCCTGAGGGGCCTCATGCTGTCCTGCCATCATCTCCCCTGGCTTCCCTGCTGTCCCTCCCCTCCCCTCAGCAGCCCTGGGGACCCCTCAGTGCATTCACTTGCCTGGCTTTCCCCAGCTGGCCCGCCCCCAGTATGGATGGCTCGGTCCCCTGCCCCCCGCCCCCTGGCTCTGCCCCTGCCCCTCACCTTCTGCTCCAGCACACAGGGCAAGGAGTTCCCCCGGTCCATCCTCCCCCTCTGGCCCTCTCCGTTCTGGGGAGACCAAAGCCGCAGTGAGCCAGAGTGGGGCGGGAGACCTCCCAGCCTTACCCTGGGCCTCTCTTATCCTCACCAGGCAACTCTGCAGCCCCACTCCCCCACCCCCAACACTGCCTGCCGACCATGGCTTCCGGTTCTTTGAAGGTTCTCCTCCAGATGGCACTCACCGGCAGGCCTGCGAGAGAGAAGGGTCACTGTTCAGAGGCAGCTCTGAGACCAGCAGACCTCCAAACTGCCAGTTCAGCCTCCCAACCTCCAGGCACAGAACCCTGCCCACATCACAGACACGGCCGCCCCAGGGCCCTGCTCAAGCCCTTTCCCAGCTTGCTTGCCGTCAGGCTGGCCCTGCCTCTCACCTGAGCTTCCCGTCTCACTCCCGGATGGGCTTAAGTCTGCGGACTGTAGCTAGGAAGGATACAAAGGGATCGTCAGGAAGCTGGAGCACCTGCCATCACTCCCCACAAGGCCCTCCCCCCTCGCCCAGGACGCCCAAGCGCTCTATCCCTCAGAGGCCACCGGGCGCACTCTACCTTCACCAGGCATCTCTGATCTGGGAGCTCACCTGGCTCAGGGTGGTCCTGCCATAAGCGGGGAGAGAAGACGACTTGGAGGTCCCTGCATGCATGGCTGGAAGAGAGCAAAAGGCCTGGTCAAAGGTCAGTCCCCTTGGTCTGACAGTCATTCCTGAGAGTGCTGCCTCCCTGCCTCCCCTGCTGGGCAGGGGTAGGGTAGTGAAGATGGACTTGGGGGGGAACCTGATGGTCACATGCTGGCCTCTAGCTCCTGCCCATTAGCTTCAGCAAGTGACATTGTACTGGCAGCTATGAACTGTCTCTAAGGCCTTCCTTTTCTCCAACAGAAAGGCTCCAAATAATACATTTGGGCCAAATGCCCAAAGGTTAAAGCCGAGAGCCAGTGATGGTCAGATGATGAGGCTCACCATTGTAAGTGAGCTTCTAAAATTTAGTCAAAACAACCAATTATTGTGATTTTATTATTAGCAATGTTAGCAGTCAAATTTGAATGTTTGATGTTATACTACAGAAACAAGTATTTCTCAGCACCCTTAGCTGCTAGATTGTACCAGAAGTCAATATACTTGATATCTACATGATCAGATGTCATTTTCAACTGGAACACTTCATAATATCACTGAGCTCTCAAGCACTTGTAAATTATAATTAAAGAAAGTTTACAGTAACAGGTTCTCTTAGGAAGAACTTTCTAAGAACTAAGATTCTTAGTTTGGGCAGATCTCAAAACTCCTTCATCTCCAAATACTGGAAATAACTGCCATTCTATAGCAGTTGTTTGGATAAACATTTTTTGTTCAAAAGGTTAGCCCTTGAAAGACTCAAAACAATAATAAATGATCTTCTTAAAACACTCTTATAAAATCTGTTGTTTGGCACAAGAACAGACCCATAGATCAGTGGAACAGAAGAGAGAGCCCAGATATAAACCCAAGCACATATGGTCAATTAATATGTGATAAAGGAGCCATGGATATACAATGGGGAAATAACAGCCTCTTCAACAACTGGTGTTGGCATAATTGGACAGCTACATGTAGGAGAATGAAACTGGCTTATTGTCTAACCCCATACACAAAAGTAAACTCGGAGTGGATCAAAGACCTGAATGCAAGTCATGAAACCATAAAACTCTTAGAAGAAAACATAGGCAAAAATCTCTTGAATATAAACATGAGCAACTTTTTTCCTGAATGCATCTCCTTAGGCAAGGGAAACAAAAGCAAAAATGAATAAATGGGACTACATCAAGCTAAAAAACTTCTCCACAGCAAAGGACACCATCAGTAGAACAAAAAGGCATCCTACAGTATGGGAGAATATATTTGTAAATGACACATCCAACAAGGGGTTAACATGAAAATACATAAAGAACTCACATGCCTCAACACCCAAAGGGCAAATAACCCTATTAAAAAATGGGCAGAGGATCTGAACAGACAATTCTCCAAAGAAGGAAGTCAGATGGCCAACAGGCACATGAAAAGATGCTCCACATCACTAATCATCAGGGAAATGCAAATTAAAACCACAATGAGATATCACCTCACACCAGTTAAGATGGTCAACATGGAAAAGACTAGGAACAACAAATGCTGGAGAGGATGTGGAGAAAGGGGAACCCTCCTGCACTGCTGGTGGGAATGTAAATTAGTTTAATCATTGTGGAAAGTGATATGGAGGTTCCTCAAAAAACTAAAAATAGAAATACCATTTGACCCAGGAATTCCACTTCTAGGAATTTATCCAAAGAAAACAAGTTCTCAGATTCAGAAAGACATATGCACCCCTATGTTTATTGCAGCACTATTTACAATAGTCAAGATATGGAAGTCACCTAAGTTTCCATCAGTAAATGAATAGATAAAGAAGAGATGGTATATATACACAATACAATACTATTCAGCCATAAGAAGAAAACAAATACTACCACTTGCAACAACATGGATGGAGCTAAAGAGTATTACGCCCAGTGAAACAAGACAGGTGGAGAAAGACAAGTACCAAATGATTTCCCTTATTTGTGGAGTATAACAATGAACAAAATAGCAGCAGACTCACAAACTCCAAGAAGAGACTAGTGATTACCAAAGGGGAGGGGTGGGGGAAGGTGGGTGGGGAGGGAGGGAGAAGGGGACTGAGGAGCATTATGATTAGTACACATGGTGTAGGGGGAGTCACGGGGAAGACAGTGTAGCACAGAGAAGACAAGTAGTGACTCTGTGGCATCTTACTACGTTGATGGATACTGACTTCAATGGGGTGTGGGGGGGACTTGATAATATGGGTAGTGACCACAATGTTTTTCATGTGAAACCTTCATAAGAGTGTATATCAATGATACCTTAGTGAAAAAAAAATTTAATTTATTAATAAAAAACAAACAAAAAAATCTGTTGTTTGGAATTTTGGCAAGAAAGAAATGTGTTTTGGAGACCTTTGTTTTTTTTGTTTTTAATACTTTTTTTGTATAGAAAATTAATCTTTCGCAAAGATGATTCATTATTGAAGCATTTCACTTTTGTGATAGTAAGTATACATTTATAGTTCAAGTGACCAGTAGAATTTCAACCTACAAAGCATAAACGATTTATAACTCCAAATTTCTTCTAGAATGTTTATTTACATTTGAAAGTGACCATTTCACCATTACCATGAAGTCAGGGTGTCATGCCCGTTTATAATTCTGAAATCGTTGAGGTTGATGACTATGACAGTGGGCGAGGCAGTCATATGATTGCCGCTCACACGCAAGTTCAGGGGTCCCGGCAACAGTGGTGGGGCAGACATTTGGCTCTTCGGCTTTGCAAGGCCACAGCGGAAGTTAAAGAGCTAATTCTGACCAAACGGCAAATTCTGGGGGTACATGAAAACTGAACCCAACTTTTGGGGCATCACTAGCTGCCTTATTCTTCAGGCCTTAACTATTTATTCCACATTCTCTAAAACAGCCTAATTCTTCATATCATCCTGAGAGTTTTCGGGACTCTGGGGATGTCCCAGCCACATATGAACCTACAGTTCCTGAATCCCCCAGTGGCCTTCACATGCACTCCACATCAGGCGACCCGGGATCTTGTTACCCACAATGGCTTCACCTCCACATTTGAAGCCAGGGCATACAACTCTGTAGCCAGAGTGCCCTCTTTGTTTGCAGCTTGCCTTAGTCTTAAGCCCAGCACATCTGCTCACCAATCCCATGGAGATCTTGATCCCCCATTTCCCCTAACCTTCGACTTGTGGCTGGGAACATAACTGCTTTCACCAGCACCCCGAAGTGCCTGCTTCGACCTTCAGCACCTGCCTTCCAAGACTCTCAGCCTGGATGGGCCCTGACTCCTTCCTTGCCTGCGGGCTCTAATTCCATCTCCTATGCATCTCTCAAGCCCATTCCCTCTCCTCTGGACCTCTGTATACTCCTAACCCTTACCCTGATGCCTGACAAGTGTGGTCAACTGTCACCAAAGATGGCCTGCGTGCCTTTGGTTCCTGTCTTCAGGAAGAAGAATCTCTCCCCCATCCCTGGAGTCTAGGCTGCCTGTTGAGCTGTTGTGACTGATAGGATGCACTAGAAGGGATGCTTGTAGAGGCCTCACACCTTCTCATTTGGAGTTCTTGGACCTCTGCCTCTCCTCTCAAACTGCCCTGCTCTAAGGAAGTCCAGGACAGACTGCAGTGATGGAGGCATGGTATGCAAAGTCCTGCCCTTCTTCCCCACCAGCCTCATTCCACCACTCCATGGCGTACTCTGGGCTCTGTGACTCCAGTCTCCTGGGGGCTCCCTAAGGTGGCCACAATGTCTCCTGCCCCTTGCCTTTGCTCCTACACCATCCCCAGTGTCTGAGATGCCTCACTCTGTCTCATTCCTCAATACTCAGTTCAGCACCCTTCAGCCCTCTGGCCCCAGGCCCTGTCCCCACATGCTGGAAGCATTTGCCGAGTGTTCCGTCTCTTCTCCACACAACCCGCTATGCCGCTCTGATCCTCCGTTTCCATGTCAACTTGTCCATGGCCTGGAAAGCTCCCGGAGGATAGGACTAATTTTTCACTCGTTATAATCTCAAGGGCCTGGCAAATGGTAGACCTTCAATAAAGGTTAAGTTAAATGAAATTTTCTAATTCTGTTCTAGCTGGTATTATCTTTCATCATTTAGTCTTATTCATAACCAGTATCTTGTCCTAAGGGAGAGTGTGAGCACCTTGGGCCAGCCATCGAAGCTTCTTATGTCTCTTATAGCCCCAGCAGCATGGTGCTGGGCACGTGATAGACAGACTCAACGGGCTCAGGGCCTGCCCAGGCAGTTCAGGGCCCTCCCCTGGCACTCACAGGTATGGAAGGGCGTCCGGTCAGGCAGGGAGCGGGTTTTCCTCCGGATAGGCAATGACTTTTCCATCTCCTCTTTCAAGATCATTTTTCCCAAGTTGGAAGTAACCTGGGAAGGGAGAAAGGAGGATGGACCCAAGACTTTAATACCCATTTATCACCTCCAAATGTCCAGAGCTGGTGTACTGCAGGCAGGCCCGGGGGCAGGGTCCTGGGGGCTGGGCTGTGGCCTAGAGCTCTGGAACCTGTTCCTGTGGGCAGATGCACGGCCACACTGGGTGGGGTCCCCTGAAGAACAAGGAGTCAGAGCTGCTCAGGGTCACTCTGCCCCGGTGACCTCCCCATCCCAGACCATGGTGGCTGGAGCACAAGACCGTGTCATTGCCAGTGGCCTTTCCATGACTCCCGATACCCTGTCTCCTCCCCCGGAGATGAGCAGCCTGCACCACTTCCCAAGGACTCAGCCTACTGAAGCCTGGCACTGTGGGACCACCCTTTTCTGTGCTTTTGACCCTAATATTAACTTGTGTGCCCTCGAAAGCAGCATGAAGTCCTGGTGTCCCTTCACAAGCAGCAACCTGAAATCCTGGGAAAGAAGGGGAATTCCTCTCCTGTGCTGCCAGAGATGCTCCTCAGGGATGGACTCCATAGTTGTGGAAGCAGAATCTTTGTCCCCAGGAAGTCCCAGGGAAGCGGGTGGGGTAGCGAGATGATACCTTACTGAGCATCTCTCTCTCACGCTCCTTGAAAGCCTTCATCTCCTCCCCAGAGTCATCTTCTTCCTCCTCTTCCTCTTCCTCGGCTCCCCTCCGCGATGCCTTCCTCTTCCTCCACTCTGTCTCTGGGAAACCCAGGCAAAAGCAGGTGCATCAGGCAATCAGCCATTCGCTCAACAAACAATCAGGTGGCTGACACTGTGCACAGCATCAGGCTGTACCTTGAAGAGAACACTACCAATTATTTTTTTTAATGAAATAAAATAAAAGTAACATCTTCTAGCCTTGCAGCGAAGCTGGGAAGGCAACACACATCCACATGATTTAGCTGTATTGGGGACCAAGACCTTGTCTTATTTCTTTCTCTTTCCCAGAGCTCCTATGCAGATTCTGGGGCTCAGCAGGTGTTTAATAAATGTCTGCTGAGTGGTCAAATGAATGAATGACAACAAATAGAGCTACTTACACCAAGAGCTTTAGGGATGCAAGAAATGGGTGAGCAGTAAGCCTGATGGGTTCAGGAAGGCAGGAACAGCCATAGGACGTGGGGTAGAGGGCTCACAGGGCTTCAACAGGGGCCGTGTGGCACACTCTTACCTACAACAGCCAGCGATGGGGGGCACGGCCAGTAGTCAGTCTCGATCTTGGCTGGCTGGTTGGGGTCAGGGGGCTGGGCTGCAGGGAACTTGGAAGACTCAATGATGAGGTCCTCAATGAGATGCTTGCTCTGAGGGCTGCCTCCCATGGACTCTGTGGGGGGGAGGCCAGGCTCAGCTATGCACACCCCTAGCCCCCAACTCCCTCACCCTCCGCACCTCAGACCTGCGAGATCTGGATGTAAAGACAACACAGTGGAAGAGCACAGGACAAAGGTCAGGTGCTATTACTAAGAGCTCTTCTACCTCCTCCCCATGCACACAGCAGGGCCCCCCAGGGCGGGGAAGGGGCTCAGATCACTGGCAGAGGCTCACCTCTCTGCTTGTAGATAGGCGGCTTCTTGTAGATATTGGAATCTGGGCGGGCGGTCTCTGCGGAGAGGGGGCAGGAGTGCATGAGAAGTTGGATGTGCTGATAACTGGGGAGGCCAGGTCAGTGAAGAGAATGGGGCAGCGGAATGGGAGGGTCCCCGAGAATCAGGGGCTCCTGCCAAGAGCCAAGACAGCGCTGGAGTTCTGGGGACTGTCCCTCAGGGCTTAGGACTTTTTGCACTGTTCTGCTTAGGTGGGAAGGAAGACTCAACAGGGCCCACCATTTCTGGGAGCTCTGCCTGGGGTCCTGGCATCAGGGGGTCCAGCCAACTCTGTGGTGAGCATGTACTCCAGAGAGTGGGGGACTGAGAGTAAGGGGCCTGGGTTCCTGAAGGACAATAGAAGTCCTTGGGGAAGGAAGCAGCCCTGCTGACAGCCAAACCTACCAGGGTGGTGGAAATGGGGCAGCATCGTCCGCGGGGTTCCCACGGTCCTTGGGGCTGAGGCCTGAGAGATGGTCCCAGGGGAACGGCTCTCTGCCCACACCTGCGGAGCGGAAGGGACGTTCACTGCAGCTCCCAGGTGCCCTAGCGCAGCCCTCCGACCCATTTAGAAGCTGTTTCACCTCTCTACCCCATCTCTGTTCCCACTCCTCATGCTCCTCTCCCTCTCCCCAGCAGCCCACAAGCCCCCAGCCCCAGGGCAGAGAGAGCCTCCATGGATTCCACCTGCTGATTCTGCCTGACCCAGGGAGAAAGCGTTAAATGAGGTTTGGGTCAGATGGACAGATGGATGCAGAACTGGCCCGTTGATAGGATGAGGCTGTCCCCTGGGTCAGCAGAGCCCTGCCTGTCTGTGTGGGGGGAAGGGAGTCAGGCTGAGCAGAGCAGGGCTGGGCAAGTGTCAGGTGTGAGCAGACTCACCTCCGGGGATGGTGGGGGGGATGTGGATTTGGGTGACAGCGAGCGCTGCAAACAGAAAGGAAGCTGGTCAGAGCCACCAGGGTGGGACTAAACCCTCATCCCCAGAACCCCAGAGAGGCTGCTTCACCCCCACCCAGCTCTGCACCCTTGCCAGACCAAGATCTGGGCCACCTCTTCTCTTTCATCCTTGCCAGTTCCCAGAACTGGCCCTCCATCCTTGACCTTCCTAGTATCTCCTGAGCATAGTCTTAAGTCTTTCCCTATAATGCATGAGGAAGGGCCAGCTGAAGCTGGCTATGGCCCTGTCCTCAGAACCTAACGACGCGTGGAAGGGATAAAACGCACAGCCCCCAGGATGGTGTCCAGGCCCCCAGCCAGGTGTTTCAGTCTCCCCGTACGTAGCCAGGTCCCAGCTCCATGCTCAGACCCGACACTACCCATTCCTCAAACACAGTTTAGAAAGTGCTTGCCCTGTGTTATCTCAGCACACGACTACCTTAAGGTGGAGGGGCAGAGGCATCACTTCTATTTTAAAGGAGGGAGAACTGAGACACCATCACTCAACTAGGACTTCAGGCCTCTGAGTCCATTGCTCTTGAGTGCCTTCCACAAATCTGCTCTTTCTGCCGCTCGCCACTCCTCTCCTACATGACCCCGCACTGTGCAGCCACCATTCAAACACGACCTCCCCTGCTCTGGGCATGGAGCTACCCTCGGGGCCCAGCCCAACCCAGCCCCCCTCTCCACAAACACTTGGTTGATCACTGCTTGATTCCTGCGCACAGCTCCCTTTCTGGTTGTGGAGTGTGGCCTCCAGGAAAGAAAGCACAGAAAGCGATTCTGCCTCCTACTTGCTGTGGCTGGGGGAGCCCTTCCCCCAAGTCTGTCTGGGAGGAGCCCCCACTCCTCACCTCCCGGCTTCTGGGCAGCTCCACGTGTTCCAGGAGAGAATAGGTAAAGTGGGGCTCGTAGATCATGAGGTCAGGCCGCTCAATGTCCAGGATGGCTTTGTCCTTGGGGATGGCAGCCAGGTCCTTGTAGCCCAGCACCTGATTGTCCATCTTGGTCTGAAGGGAAATGGTGGAAAGGGCATGGATATGCAAAATCCTTGCATAAAATTCTAGCTTCATAAGCCAGGCTTGAAATTTGCTAGAAAGGGAATGGGCAGCCATTCTAGCTGTCAGTTCGTACAGGTTAATAATTCTGTTTTAATTTTAAGGGTTTAGAGAGTCACTTAGCACTCGGGGTACCAGGAGGTTAGATCAGACCAGTAGAACAGGGGTGTGGGGAACCTTCTGCGGATCTCCGGGTTCTCTCTGCCTAGCAGCCCTGGCAGGACCGAGGTTGCACTTCAGAGCGGCTCTGCGTGAAGCTGCGCAGCAGCAGCGTGTCCCCCACCCCCCCGCCGCCTCCTCCCAGTCTGAGGGTGCTGCTGGCTGAGAGATACTCACCACGATGCTGGAGGGTGAGCCAGGTACACTGGAGCCTCGGGAGGAGCTGACGCTCCCAGGGGAGGTAAGTGGTTGCTGGGGAGAGCGAGAAGGCGGGCGGGTGGGAATGTGCGTGCGTGCCAGGGCCGGGCGTTGGGGCTCCGCGGCGGCGGGGAGCCGCGGAGGGACTCCGGGCGCTGGGACACGGGGCTTCCCTAGGCCTCTGGGCCCGGGGGTGCGGCGCCGCGGGCAGCCAGCAGGTGGCACCATCGACGCCTGATCTGACCCTCCGCCGGGCCGGGGAGGCCTGGCCCCACCCCGCCCTCGGCAGCTGGCTGCCTGGCTGGGCGCAGCCCCCACACACCTTCTGCAGCCGTTCCATACAGCGGGGAGCAGGCCGATCGGGTCACCGGCGGGGGCCTGTGCGCGAGGGGAGACGACAGGGCGTCAGGCTCTGCCCGGCTCCTGGGCGCTGCGCACTCGGTGCGGCGAGAGCAGAAAAGGCGTCCCAGCGGGCTGTGGCGGCCTCATCCCTCAGTGGCTCTCCCCGCTGCCGACCGCGTGCAGGGCCTGGAAAGGAGGGAGGACGTGCCAACGAGGGCTCCTGGCCCCGGGACTGGGGTGGGGAGCGCTGCGGAAGACCCCTGGGGCTTCGGAGAACTGGGCAGAGGGAGCCCAGCCCTCCGGGGCTCAGGCTTTCCCACCCACTGGGCCGCGGGGAAAGCTTGCACCCGTGTGGCCCGCCAGGCCTGAGAGTGCAGGGGCTGCACTTCAGGCCATTGTTCTCTGGCTGGAAAGGAAATGACGGCAGGGGTCAGCCGTTCCCGGTGCAGCCTCTACATCCCTGCTTTGTCACACCTGCCCTGCCCCGCCTCGCCCCTGCCCCCGGGGCTGCAGGGCGGTGTCAGGCCGGTTCTCACTCCCCTTGGCCTCTGCCACGGTGTCACTCCCAGGCTCTGTGCCGGTGCCCTTGTTCCTCTCTCAGCCCACTGTCTCCCGTGCCACCTCTCTCACAGACCAGGAAGGGTTAACACAGAGGGCCTTAGTCCACTGTGCGGTGGATGGGACGCGGGGAGGAGGGGATGGAAGGAAGCTGGCTTATTGAGAATTGGTCAGGTCATTGGTGGGGGGGGGGCAGCTTAGTCCGTTACACCCCCTGTGCCTGTTCTTTGTGCAGGCAGTTCCACTTGCAGGATTTGGTAAAGCTCCCTTTGGGACCACAGCCGCATCTCAGGTCTGCACAGCCTTCTTGGGGTGCCCGCAATGAGGATGCCCTCTGAAGTGCCGCATGGCTGCAGGGCAGCCCCCGGCTCAGCGGGAGGGCATCCTGGCCCACTCGGCTCCTTTTGTTCCTAGGCAGTTGGGTCCTTCCTGTGGCAGTAGACAGTTCCCTGGGGCCACAGCTCATGTCTTCTTCTTTGCCAGTAACTCCTTTAGCAATCCTCCTATTCCCCCCTCAAACCGTACTGGACACAGGATGACCAATGAATGAGTTCCCAGTGTGATGGTGGCAGGGGACTCTGTCCTTCCATCTGCTCGCAATAAGCCACAGAGTGACGAGAGCTGATGGCTACAGAAGGTACAGGGAAGAGGCAGCGGGGAAGAAGTGATTAAAAGCATGGACTCTGGACTGGAGTGCCTGCAAGGGAGCACAGAATCTGCTACTCAGAAGCTGTGTGACATTGTGCAGGTTACTTACCTTCTCTGTGCCTCATGTTTATCATTTGTAAAATGGAAGATAGTAATAATATCTGTGTCATAGGGTTGCTCTGAGTATTAGGTAAGTTATAATATGTGAAGTGCTTAAAACACTAGAGACCTAGCTATTGTTTCTATCTCCCCAAACAGCTTTTTTGTGGCCATTCTTTGGGACAGAGGGCCATGAAAGACTAGGTCATTGGTGCTCCCAATCTTTTCTTCTATTACTTCATATCGGGCCATTCTGTTCACTGTCTCTCCGTCACTGAAACCACCTACTCACCTGCTCACTGCTCGGCAGCCCTCACTCCCATCTCCTGCTTTTGTGTGTGCCCTGTTCTCTATCCACCAAGCCTTGTCTCCTCAATCCCACCCGACCTCCAGGGTCCGTCCTAAACCCTCCTCCTCTGGGAGGCCTCCTCTACTATTCTAGTCCTTACTGATAAACAATTTTAGTGCGACTGAGAAAGAGAACCATGTAACTTAGCCCTTGATTATGTTGCCTGACATGGAAACCTTTTTTTTTTTTTGCTAACTAGAATGACGGCTAACTTCTGGAGGGCAGAAACAACAGGAGCTATCATTTTTTGAATGCTCATGCTTTGACAAGCACTTCACAAGGATTATTTTGTTCCATCCCTCCAAGAAGCTATAAGGTAGACCCATTTAACAGATGAATAAACTGAGGCTCAGAGAAGTTAAAAACTTGTAGAATTGTGAAGCTGAAAATGACTGTGTCCTAAGCATTGACATGATTCAAAGTACCTACCTAGTACTGTGTCAGGTGTGTTGTGGGGATAGATGAGTATCTACTATATTTGTCCAGTCTTTTTGCAATTCTGGAGCCAATTTTTCTCCAAGACAAGACTCTGTTCATAGGTCACACTAGGTATTTGGTGTCCATGGAAAGACTCCATTCCAGAGCTTCATCCTTCTCTCTCTTTGCAATATTTTTAAGTAGGTGTCTGAGGACCAGAATAAACTGCAGTGTATATTCAAAGAGCTGTTAGCTCCCTCTCACTCCTCTCTGATCCTTACTCGGTTAATAGCCATTGTCAAACTAGCCATATACTTAGCTTAGCCCTGGAGGCAAACACTTGTTAATCCATCCATCCCCACTCATCCATCCATGCCCACCCACCTACTCACCCACTATCTACCTAGCCAACCACTGCCTACTCGTGCACTGTTTTATCCTATCATTCACCAAATACTCCCTGAGCACCTATTCTGCAGTGAGCCCTGAGCAACACTCTGTGGTAAGTCTTACGGAGAATAGAAAGAGGAATCAAAGGCCCTAAGCTGCCCCTCCAGAAATGAGGCATGTATATTGATAACTGCCAAGCAAAGCAGAAAATCACATGTGCCAGATGAGCTCCTAGAAGGACCTGAGAGATGTCACAGGAGAGAGGAATATACACAGGAGCTGCGGTATCAATAGGGGAAAATAAAAAAGATTTCGAAGAGGAGGAGGTATTTGAGGTAAGCCTAGAAGGATGTCCAGTTTGAGGTCCTGCAAAGACTGAAAAAGTGATTCTTGAAGAGGAAGCTGCCTGAGCAACAGTGGGGACGTGAGGACGCACTCGGTCTGCCTGAGAACAGCAAATTTGGCTCAGTGGTAGAGCTTATGTTTTTGAGATCTGTTTGGGGCAGGAGGTTGGGGGCCAGAAAGTAGAGGCCTCGAACCCAGGCTAGGGGATTTAGATTATATTCTGCGGGCAATAGGGGCCATGGAATGCTTAGAAATTTTTTTAAAACAAAGAAGACCCAAGCAGTGCTTTGGGAAAATAAATCTGGCTGTAGGCCAGGCGACAGACGGGACAGGAAGAGGCAGGCAGTCCAGAGCGAGATCGGCCAGGACGGACGGTGTTGGTTTGCTGCGGATTGTGAGGGTCTAGATTTGGGCGTGGGGCTGAAGATGGAAAGGGGACAAATGGGAGAAATCCCAGAGGCAGCACGTACAAAACAGGATGTGACCTGGAGCGCATCCCCGGGAGGGAGGGACAGACTGCAGGCCCAAGGGACGGAGGAGGAGGAAGCATCAAGCTCGCTGTTTGCCTGGCGAGGTTGAGGCAGGTGCGGAAGGAGAGCAGGTGGGAGCAGGAGGCGCAGCAGGGGACAGGCTGGAGCAGGGACTGGGGAGCCATCTGAGCTAGAGGTGACAGTCTGCATGCGAGGTTGCTAAGGGAGAAAGAAGTTCAAAAACAGCATCCTAGGAAACACCCAGGGACCTAGAAGAAAGACAGAGCGAGAGATGGAACAGAAAGGAGCAAAAAACCAGACAGTGGCTCCTTGAGGGGCCCAGAGGATGGCCAGTGAATCTTTGTATTTTCAGCAAAGGGCCTGTATGAGACACGTATGCCATAAATATCGACAGAAAGGTTGGGAGGGGCTGAGAAAGGACATCAAGAAGCCAAGAGAAGGTGGCCCAGAGATGGCCAGTGCCTGAAGGGGTGGCCACATGCTCGTCTGGACGTCAAGGCCTGGTGGTCCTGAGAGCATTTTTGGAGGAGTAGCAAGGCCCCCCTGTTAGGGGTTACGGAGAGGGCAGGCCTGGCCAGGCTGCACAGGGAGGGGGCAGCACTGTGGGAAGAGTGGGGAAGGCCTGAGGGGCTGGGAGGGAACCTTGGGAGGGGTGAGGTGGGCTGAAGGTTGGCACGGGATGGGCAGACTGGGAGAGGGAAGAGCAGGGAGGAGGAGATGCAGCAGGGGGCAGGGTCCTGGCTGTCCGTGCCCATCCCGCGGGGCTGCCTGATTAGGGAGGAAAGGCGTGATGCCCTAAAGGAGAAGAAGGGAAAGAAGCCTGGAACCACTACATAAGGGTCCTTAGGGGGCCAACCCCAATCAGAAGCTTCTATTTCCCAGGAAAAGTGCAAAATAACATCATATGCAGATCTTACAGGCAGGATAGGCAGAGACTGAGTAGAAAAGGCTGTGCGGGGTGAGTGGCGGGGCCAGCCAGGGAGAACGGGAGCTTCCCTGGGTCTCGCGAGGCTCTGGCTGAGCCCAGCGCAGGGGGGTGGCCCTGGCACCCTCCCCTTGAACACAAGCTGGAGGGCAGGTACAGACAGTGACTCTGTGAGAGTGGTTTTCATGGCCAAGGCAGGGAGGGAGGTGAGCGGTCCAGGATGAGCCATGTCCCGGCTGTACACGGTCTTGCACTGAGACGCACACTCATGTGTATACAACTGTCTCCCAGGCACAGCCATACAAACAAGATTCAAAGTAATGACATCTGCTCTGTCCCTGACCGTTCTTGTCCACAGCTGTGCACCACCCATGGCCAGCCCTGCTCGGCAGGATCTGCCCCTCAGCCCCTGGGAATCCTTCCCCTCCTGCTGAGCCACATTCCCTCAGACTCAGCACACAGTGTGTCACAAAGCAGGCTGACAAACTGTTAATACTTTACCCTAAGGAGGCCTGTGTTTTAATTTGGGTCTAGTTTTAAGGAGTAAAGGTTAGTGATGAAATTTTAGGCCATCAGGGAACATGTTTTGGGGTGGAGACTATGTGTATGAGAGGGAGAGACACGGAGGGTTGGTTTTCCTGGCTTCTCTCAAATCCCATTTTGCTGGCAACTGCTTACTCCACCCACGTGTAGCCTCCCCCCTTCTCCCCACCCTCTGCAAAGCTAATCCCCTCACAAGTGCCCTCTCCCCACCCCTACCCCCATCCACCATCCGTTCCCCCCCTGCACCTGTACTCCCTATATCCCACGCCCTGCCTTCCGGAAGGGCAGGCTGCAGCAGGAAGGGAGGGCAGAATGGAAGAGAGGGGAAAGAATGCAGAGGAAGGCCAGCCCAGGTGACGGAAGGGACATCCCAGCTGCCCAGCTCCCGTCAGACAGTGCAGGCTCCCCATCCTTCTGTCTC